CTGTCTTGCATATATTTTTATTGTAAAAATACTATACAGAGGCGTTAGTTACATGAGTAAGGTAATGAATACATTTCCTATCAAGTGTTGTTACCTCCTCCTTTGTTTTTCCCCTACCATCCCTTCCCTCCCTACCTCCCCAACTCCTGCCCCACCCTAAAGTTGTAAAGTTTGTTTTCAACATAGTGTCTTGTACATCTCATTGTTACTAGCATTCTTAAATGACCATATTACTCAAAGCAATCTATGGCTTCAATGTGTTTCTTCACAAAAATAGAAAAAATACTAAAACTGATATGGAGCTATACATATATATACTATATATATATGTGTATATATATATATATATATATATATATATATATACACATACCATATACATATAATAGGTAAAGCAATTCTGAGAAAAAACAATAATGCTTTCAGCACCAGAATACCTGACTTCAAAGTATACTACTATTATACTATAATAACTCAAATAGCATGGTCACAGCATAAAAACACACATATAGACCAATGGATCAAACCAGAAAACCTAGAAATTAACTTGTGTACATACAACACAATGATTTTTCCTGAAGGCATCAAGACTATATGGTAGAGAAAGGGCAATCTCTCTAATAACTGGTGCTGGCAAAGCTGCCTAAAATATGCAAAAAAGTGAAACTCACTTTCTTCCTCTTATCATACACAAAACTCAACTCAAAATGGTTCAATAAACCTACATAGAAAACAGGCCACTATGAAATTACACTAAGAAAACAAAGGAGGAACACTTCAAGACATTGGGATAGCCAAAAATTTCATGATAGAACCCCAAAGGCCCAGGTAACACAGGAATAATAATGGGGTCATAATGGATAATAATGGGGTTATTTATATCACACCAAGAACCTTCTATACAGCAGAGGGTGAAGAGTGAAAGCAGCTGGCTCAGCTACTCAGGAGGCTGAGATCTGAGGATCCCAACGTGCAGCCAGACTAGGAACACAAATTAAAGAGAATGTTATTTCCAATTAACCAGCAGAAAGGTGGAAGTGAAGCCAAGGTTAAGTGGTAGAGATCCAGACTTGAGAAAAAAAAAAGAGTCACAGCTTGAGGGCCTGTGTTCAAGAACCAGTACTGTCACAAGCACACACATGTGTACATGCACTTGTGCACATGCACACACACACATATACACACGAATGAAGACACAACCTACAAAATACAAGAAAAGATTTTCAAACTACTCTTCTAACAAGGGATTGAGCTCCAGAAACTCAAGAAGCTAAACACAAAGATAAACCAAATAATCGAATATAAAATTGGGCTCACCAACTAAATAGACACTTCCCAAAACCTATACAAAATTGCCAGCATATATATGAAAAGGTGCTCTAGTTTGCTAGTCATTAGAGAAATGCAAATCAAAGCCACAAAGATATATCATCTCACCCCAGTTAAAATAGCTATTAAAAACAAACAAATCCTGATGAGCATACAGAGGAGACTGCATAAACTGTTGTTGGGAATGTAGCTGTAAACTTGGTGAGGAATGGCATGGAAATTCCTCAAAATGCTAAAAGCAGACCTGCTATTAATACAACAACTCCACTACTGGGAATACACCAAAGGAGAGAAAAATCACTCCAAAAAGATGGGTAGGGGTGGGGTGGGGTGGGGTGGGGTGGGGTGGGGTGGGGTGGGGTGTGTGTGTGTGTGTCAATTTCAATAGCACTAAAATGATCATTTATAGAACTCGAGGCAGAAGTAGGTTTTTCTACAACAGACTGAGACATGCACATGTTTGCTAGGTGCTTCTTTAACAACTTGCTCTGTTTCTTTTATTAACATGTGTCAGTGAAGGTTTCCTATCTATTTAGGGGGTCCATTTTGGTACATTGCATTTTCCTGGAAAATTGTGCGTTTGCTCCAAGTTATCACCATCAAAACTTAGAATATGCCCAGACATTTGAAAAAGAAAACCTTTTTTTTTAAATCCCTAGTTTCAGCTGGGCACCATTGGCTCACACCTCTAATCCTAGCTACTCAGGAGGCTGAGATCTGAGGATCATGGTTCAAAGCCAACCCGAGCAGGAAAGTCCCCATGAGACTCTGATCTCCAATTAACTGCCAGAAAACTGGAAATGGTTCTGTGGCTCAAATGGTAAAGTGTTTACCTTGAGCTGAAGAGCTCAGGGACAGTGCCCAGGTCCAGAGTTGAAAACCCACAACCGACAAAAAAAAAATCTCCAGTTTCTACTAGACCCACAAATTCCTCTGAGTCTTCCCCTAGCTTGCAGCACCATTCACCTATCTACTAAAGACAGAAATCTCAGAGATGTCCTAATTCCCTTCCATTCTTCACGACTTCCATCTTTCCAGTGTATACCAACTCCAGCTCCAAAACACATCTGCCTCTCTCATTCTCTCCTCTTGTGTCCTGCTTCCTACCACTATCTTGACCTAAAGAATAGAGCCATGCTCTCTTCCTCTGTTCCTCACTTCTCAACCAATTCTCAATAAACACTGAGAATGGCTTTCTTAAAGTAAAAGCTAGCTTATCTTCTCCCCATCCCCACTGCCTTTGTTCCAAACCCAGGCATATTCCCACCAGTCACCCTTAATAACTCCTCAAAATGGGCCCTATGGCCAGAGGGAGACTACCATACTCCTAATTGAAATTGAAATGGTTCCCCTCCCACCTGCTGCTTCTCAAAGACCTCACCTTCTCTCCCACTTCGCTTCATTGTTTAATGTCACAAATCACCTCATCTTCCATGTCACTTTCCAGAATAGGTCACACCTCTGCCCTCTATCAATGTGAGATAACTCAAGGTATTCCTCAAGGCACTGAGTAGACCTCCAATTACTTTGTTTACTTGTCCTGTTTCTGACTTCCTTCAGAAAAAAATTCAATATATTTTTATTGTTATTGTAAAGGTGATGTAAAGAAAGGCTACAGTTACATAAGTCAAGTGATAAGTACATTTCTTTTTGAACAATGTCACCCTTTCCCTCCCTCTCTCCAAGTTTTTCCCTCCTGTCCCCACCCACAAGTTGTATAGTTCATTTTCAACATAGTATCTAGTGAGTACCACTGCTGCATTGTTCGTTTGTTTACCTTTGTCCTACCCTTTCTGTGCACCCTTACCCTCCCAAAGACAGATAAACTAACAAACAAGACATAAAGTACAGAAAAACAACAACAAAGGAAAAAACTCATGTCCATTTCTTAGAGTTCATTTTGATAAATATGATTTTATGTGATCATATGCACATAGCTATTGAGCCTTTGTGATCCTCTCCTAAGAATATCCTCCTTTAGTCTCACTGTGTGAATGTTTAGAGACCTGTAGATTTTATCACACTCAAGTGTATTTTTTTGTATTTTTTAATATCCAGTGTGTTTATGGGGCTAAAGACTTAAAGAGAGACTTCTCAGAAGAAGAAATAAGAATGCAAATCAATACAAATCCACAACATTGAGATTCCACCTCACACCAGTTAGAATGGCCATTATCAAGAAAAATAACACTATCAGATGCTGGTGAGGATGTGGCCAAAAGGGAATGCTACTATACTGTTGGTGTTTAACCACTCTGGAAAGCAACGTAGAGGTTCTTCAAAAGACTAAACATAGAGCTTTCCTATAACCTAGCAATTCCACGCCTGGGTATTTATCCAATAGACCACAAACAAGGCCACACTAAAGCTACCAGCACAACCATGTTCATTGCAGCACTGTTTACCACAGCCAAGATATGGAATCAACCCAGGTGCCCCTCAATGGACAAATGGATCAAAAAAATGTAGTAAATACACATTATGGAATTCTCTTCCACCAGAAACTATGATAGTGTACCATTTGTAAGGGAATGGGAAGACTTGGAAAAAAATATATTAAGTGAAGTAAGCTAGACCCAAAGAAACATAGGTGGCATGGTCTCCCTCATTGGTTATAACTAGAATGTGCCTATAAATCTATAAGTAAACACCCAACTGTGGTATATTTGATACAGGATAGGCACTGGGTTAGGAATACTGAATGATTCAGACCAGAGGAGTAGTTTCTAGGTTGGAAGGGAGCTCATCTGTGGAGATGCAGTCTGTACTAAGCATGAGGGTATTTTTCAGTGCTTTCTTCCCCCCACCCCAATCATATTGAACAACGTAAATGAGCACCTACCTGAAGGATGCAAACCAGGCCTCAGGTTCCTTACAGAGGTTTAGTTGGGTTAAGCCTGGAAGAAATTGGTCCATTCTTATCATATCCATATTAGGCATTTTTAAAAACAAAAACATATATCTATGAGTACCAGTTCACAGATCATTACACTGCTTGATAGTGGATAGAGGCTCTATGGTATTCTATTAATATTCTCACTTCACTCTGTCTTATGGAAAGTCCCAGTCATTACAACCAGCACCTAAACCCCCAGGAGGCATCTCATGACTCCTATTCAAAGCATTGAGTCCTTCACTCTGGCAGCTCTAGATTAGGGCTGAAATAATCTTATCTGAGAGAAGTATTTTTCATTTCTGACCAAATATGCAAAACCATCACTGAGATAACATGACAGAGGAGGGGCTGTAGCTACTTGTGTGACTCTCGATCTTGAGATTTTTTGATCCTCAGTGTTGACCTCAGACCATAATATTCCTGTCTATACCACCTAGATAGCTGAGCTTTCAGGCCTGTTGTACCATGCCAGACTGGTTTGTTGAAGTGTGGGTCCTGCTAACATTTTGCATGGGCTGTCCTTGAAATGTGATCCTCCTATGTGATCCTATGTGTGAGTTGGTGGAATTATAGGCATACACCACTCCTCCCAATTCTGTTTTAATTAATAATGTAGAAAAAATTCATGGATATAACTCTCCTGAGCCAAAGCTACTTGAGGATCCTCAACACATAGTAATTGAATGAGAAGTCCTGATTCAAAGAAGTTTGAGATTAACTCACAATCAATCACAGGCATTCAGAGAAGATGTTTTAAAGAGAGATATTACAAAGTACGTTTGGAGGCAGAAACTATGATGCTTTTGGAGGACCATCAACAGGCAGAGGCCGAGGCCGAGGACATATGGGTGACTTTGGAAGCATTCATAGACCTGGCATTGTTGTTGACTATCAAAACAAGCCCACCAATGTGACAGTTGCTACTGCAAGAGGAATAAAGAGAAAAATGGTACAACCATTTAATAAGCCTGGTGGAGCCTTTATCAAGAAACCTAAGTTAGCAAAACCTATGGAGAAGATGAGCCTCAGCAAATCACCTACAAAAGCTGACCCTAAAAATGAAGAAGAAGAAAAGCGATGAATTGAGGCCCGACGAGAGAAACAAAGGCGTAGAAGAGAAAAAAACAGTGAGAAATATGGTGATGGATACAGAATGGCATTTACATGTTCATTTTGTAAATTTCGAACCTTTGAAGAAAAAGATATTGAGCTGCATCTGGAAAGTTCATCACACAAGGAGACATTAGATCATATTCAGAAACAAACCAAATTTGATAAAATAGTTATGGACTTTTTGCATGAGTGTATGGTGAATAAATTCAAGAAAACATCTATTCGTAAGCAACAGACAAATAATCAAACAGAAGTTGTTAAGATAATAGAAAAAGATGTCATGGAAGGTGTTACAGCTGATGATCACATGATGAAAGTAGAGACTGTTCACTGCAGTGCCTGCAGCGTGTATATCTCTGCATTACATAGTTCAGTTCAGCAGCACCTCAAATCTCCTGATCACATCAAGGGGAAGCAGGCTTATAAGGAGCAGATAAAAAGAGAGAGTGTCTTAACTGCAACAAGCATTTTAAATAATCCAATATTGAAGTCACGATATGAACGTTTCGTTAAGGGTGAAAATCCTTTTGAAATTCAAGATCAGTCTCAGGATCAGCAAATAGAAGGTGATGAAGAGGATGAAGAAAAGATTGATGAACCTATTGAAGAAGAGGAAGATGAGGAGGAAGCTGGGGAAGCAGAAGGTGTGGAAGAAGCGGAGGAAGCAGGAGAAGCTGAAGGAGCAGAAGGAGAGGGGGATGCAGAGGGAAGGGAGGAGGGTGGGGCTGAGGGGGGAGAGGGTCCAGAGGGGGAAGTAGAAGGAGCAGGGGAAGCAGAACTGGACGAAGCAGCAGCAAAGGAGCCTGTTGATTTTCCGGTTGAGCAACCAGAAGAAAATTAAATATAAGGAATTAGATTTAAATAGAGCTTTAAATTTCTGTCCTAATGTGGAAAGGGTAAGAATTTTAATAGCTTCAAGTATGAATTAACACTCAAGTTGCATGCACTCCACATATTAAAATTTGTTTTATATTCTTTCTAAAAAAAAAAAATAAATAAAGAGAGATATTACCTCCATCATATCTAATGCTCCATAGAGGGTTATAACTGTAAAAAGGTGTTTTTTTTGTTTTTCTGTTTCATTTTGGTCAATCATGGGGCTTGAACTCTGGGCATGGGTGCTGTCCCTGAGCTCTTCAGCTCAAGGCTAGTGCTCTACCACTTGAGCCACAGTGCCACTTCCGGTTTTCTGAGTGGTTCATTGGAGCTAAGAGTCTCACCGACTTTCCTGCCTGGGCTGGCTTTGAACCGTGATCCTCAGATCTCAGCCTCCTGAGTAGCTAGGATTACAGGTGTGAGCCACCGGCGCCTGGCTTTGTAAAACGGTTTTGAAAATGGTCCTTACAGGCATCCTCATTATTATGACATGGAATAAATAGTAGGATAGGTAACAAGTCTTAGAAAAATCAAGTGGTAGAGCGCCAGCCTTAAGCTGAAGAGCTGAGGGACAGCGTCCAGGCCCAGAGTTCAGACCTCAGGACTGACAAAAAAAAAAAGGATATAATAAAGTACATTACTGCAATCACTAAGTATTTATGCAGAAATGTAAATCTAATTATGTTATTTTTTAAATAATTTGGAACAAAAACAAAAAAATCACAGAAATTTGGATGTTTCTGTAATATCAATTTTGGACTGCCTGTCTGATGTTCTTTTTTTTTTTTGGTTCCAGTCATGGGGCCTGAACTCTGGGCCTGGGTGCTGTCCCTCAGCTCTTCAGCTCAAGGCTAGCACTCTACCACTTGAGCCACAGCGCCACTTCTGGCTTTTTTCTTTTTGCTTATGTGGTGCTGAGGAATCGAACCCAGGGCCTCAGGCATGCAAGGCAAGCGCTCTACCACTGAGCCACCTTCCCAGCCCCTGCCTGATGTTCTTAAGCCAGGGGGCATCGTTGGAGACGACCTGAGCAAGTGGCCAGTCTAGCAGGATGCAGCTCTTTGGACTCTGAGATGAGTTTTGACCTCACCACCCACACACAGGCCAGCAAACGCAGTCAGTACCTCCTACTTCCATCAAAATACTCCCAGAAACAAGAGGGTTTTTAAAAAAAGAAGAACCTTAGCGCTTGATGGTCACAAAATGACTTCAGATCCGCAGACTGTCTACTCCAAAACTCCTACGATTGAACAAAAGGTTTAGGATAGTTAACACTCACTTGCCTAAGAAAGACTGTCTCCAAACGCAAAGAACATCCCAAACCAAAGAACTCACCAGCGCCTCCTTCTCGAGGAGTTGTAGAGCCTGAATATCCTTTTCCAAATCTCTGAACTCTTGAAGAACAGAACTGTGAAATGCCTCTAGTTTGTTCAGTCTGATAATGTAAAAGTAACAGATGTCATTGAAACTGCTGTGTGTAACCAAAGGCAAGCTTTGTCAATTGTCTCATTACAGAACTACTCGTGTTTGCGTTCTCCTCCCTTCCCTCCACACCTGCTAATGTCCAACCCCTGAAGTCCAGTGCCATGAAGTCCTGTTAGCCTTCCCACTGCAGCCCAGAGGAAGCTGGCAGATCCACACTTTTCTTATATAGCACAAGACAGATGGCCCCAGGGAAGAGTTCTGCATCCTCTCTACATCCATCACCTCCTATCAACCTTTCTGTTTGGCCTTAGGGTGACCCTGAAAGCTATGGGTCAGGTCAGAGATGAGCTCATATACCCTTCTCTACCTCTGTGCTTTAGATCTAACAGACGCAACATTCCAACCGGTGTCATTCTGGTGTTTGTTGCCACTGTGTTTGTTTCTCAACTGCTTGCTTGCTTGCTTTTTGTCTTTCTTTGCCATTAGACTGAGTGTTCTAGGGAGACAAGAGCTCCCTTGTTTGGATGTTGAATGTGCATTTGTGGCCATGTGTTAAAGGCTTAATCCCCAGAGTGGCACTACTGAGAGGTGGTGGAACCTTTAAGAGGTGGAGACTAGTTGAGAGGTCTTTAGGTCCTTGGGGTTGTGCCCTTGAATGGGGCTGTTGGACCAGCATCTTTTGTTGCTTTCATGTCCTGGTTATGTTTGTTTTCTTCTGCCAGGCTTACCCAACATAAGTTGTCTCCCTCCTCAAGCCCAAAGCAATAAGGTCAATGCATCATGGACTGACTGAAACCAGTGTCCAGACAGACACTGAACCAAATAAACTTCTTCTCTTTATAAGCTGATTAGCCCACTGATTTATTAATAACCAGAACACTGACCAACAAGCAGTAGTCACTTCTGTCTTACAAGTATGCTGTGTCCATAGTGTTGCTTGGGTGCATTTTTAGACTGAATATGTAGCTGAGCAGAAGTTCCTGAGACATAACATGAACTCTACCAACATCCTTCAAGAACTTGCTTGAACAAGTAACATTGCATATACATAAAAGCTTGACAGAAAAGGTCAGATAAGTTGATGTTAGGCAAAATGAACCCCAAGATAAGGACTCAAGTGGTTTTTCTTTCTTGCTATTGTTTCTAACATATTTATAAGGTGATTTTTTTTTGTTGCTTTGTATGTCCTTCCCCCATAGTATAACCCCTGTTTTCACTGTATTTGATGTTAGTATAATTTGGGGAGCATAAGGGAAAAAATTGTTTCAATAAGGATACAGGTGGACCCATTGCAACAATGAGAAGTACAAGATGCTATGTCAAAAACCAAACTTTACAACTTTGTGGGGGTGGAGTGTAGTCGTGGAGATGGGAGGGCAGGGATGGTAGGGGAAAAACAAAGGAGGAGGCAACAATGCTTGATAAGAAATGTACTCATTACCTTGCCCATGTAATTGTAACCCCTCTGTACCATATTTTCACAATAAAAAAAAAAACTTGAAAAATAGATGTCTCTATTAAAACCATGTATTCCACCCTAAGAGACTGGCTACTTCAGCTTGCCCAACTGACATATCATCCTTTCCTTCCTTCCTTCCTTCCTTCCTTCCTTCCTTCCTTCCTTCCTTCCTTCCTTCCTTCCTTCCTTCCTTCCAAGTAGGCCATACTTGCCAACAAGTAGCAATTTCTATACTTGCTTCCTCTAAACAAGAAAACATCACTCAGGAGACACTTCCACTGCTATTATCTGAATTTAACTCTAATCACTATGGAAACTCATCCCCCTCCCATTTCTGGTCCCTAACCTTGTCCCTACCCTCTGCAGTCTAGCTATCTACATACTTCTTGCTATATAGCTATGGTGGCGGGTAGAAGGGGAAATGTGTGCACAGTGCACATGATTTTATTGTAGTGTAATACACATAATCCATGTTAAGTGTGGGATTTCATGGCAATAAGTACATTCACAATGCCCATCATCCCAGATGTCTTACCCATCAAATAATAATTGTCCCTTCCTTCAACCTCTAGAAACTTCTTTTGTGTCTGTCACTATGTGTCTTTTCACAGACTCTTCGGGGTACTTTATCTAAGTGGAATAATACAATATTTTTCTCATATTCTTTTCATTCGTGTTGCAGTATGGGTCAAAATCGAATTCCTTTTTCAGGCTGAATGACATGCTATGGTATTGCCACACCATTCAGCATTTATCCAGAATTTTAAAATATACATCCATGCTTGCTCTGTCTTCACAAGTGAATTATAATTCTGTGTGTACCAGTGCTAGGGCTTGCACTCAAGGTCTCTGATACATGAAAATCTTTTTCTCTCAAGGCTTGTGCTCTACCACTTGGGTCATACCTTCACTTCCAGGTTTTGGCTAGTTAACTGTATATAAGAATCTCACATCGGGTGCCGGTGGCTCACACCTGTAAGCCCCGCTACTCAGGAGGCTGAGTTCAGAGGATCGCGGTTCAAAGCCAGCCTGGGCAGAAAAGTCCGTGAGACTCTTGTCTCCAATAAACCACTAGAAAACCAGAAGTGGTACTGTGGCTCAAGTGGTAGAGTGCTCGCCTTGAGCTGAAGAGTGCAGGGACAACGCCCAGGCCCAGAGTTCAAGCCCCACAACCAACCCAAAAAAAAAAAAAAAAAAAAAAAGAATCTCACAAAGTTTCCTTCCTAGACTTGCTTCAAACTAAGATCCTCCAATCTCAGCCTCCTGGGTAGCTAAGATTATAAGCAAGAGCAAGCAGCTCCCAGCTGTAAATTATAAAAAAAAAAAAAATTAAGAACAGAATTTTAGAGCAGAAATAGGGGGATCTTGAGTTCAAAGGCCCACCTGGGAAAAGTTAATAAGACCAAACAATTAAAAATTTAAAACAGAATTTTTAAAAGACTGGTGGTAGGGGGGAGATGGACTAGAGTATAACTCAAGCAGTAGAGCACTCCTAGTGAGCATGATGCTCAAGGTTCAATCCCCAGTACCACATATACAGGCCAATGAAAGCCTTAGGAGAACACAGCATTCAATCTTCACCTTCTGGATGGAGAACCTGCCACCTAAAGGGAACTCTGGGTATTGGTTCCTTAGGCCAACATAACACTGGTGGGATGCTTGTGGTTTGTGAATGATCATACTTCTGTGGATTTCTTTTGAAATCCAGTACTTACCTGCACAGGAATATCTGGTCTAAAAGTTTAATTAGGCAATCGGGTGCTTTCTTTGTCTTTTCTGAATAAGGTGGAGTCATTCTGTGCCTAAGCTAAAAGATATGAACAAAAATATAATGATCACATTTGGGTAAGACATGACTACAACATTGAGTTGCATTGCATTAAAGCAGATCACCAGTTCCACAATATTCACGACAAACATTATAGCTAAGGAACAGTACATTGTTCTATGTTCCTTTTAGATATTACCTAGGGTTTGGGTGTTTTTGTTTTTGTTTTTTTGTCAGTTATGTTGGTTGAACTCAGGGCCTGGGCACTGTTTCTGAGCTTTTTTTGCTCAAGACTAACAACCACTTTGAGCCACAGTGCCACTTCCAGTTTTCTGGTGTTAATTAAAGAGTCTCATGGCCTTTCCTGCCCAAGCTGGCTTTGAACCACGATTCTCAGATCTCAGCCTCCTGGGTAGCTAGTATTATAGAAGTAAGCCACCAGCACCCAGTCTAGGTTTTATCTTACAGAGATCAAGAGAAAATAGAGAATATACATCGTGCTACCCATATACATATTGAACACTATGGACACATTTCCATCGTAAAACTGGTTTATATTGGTATGGCAGAAAAGTAAGACTTTAAAACTTTCTTCCAAGGTAACTCAGTCAATGTTGGCTAGGGTAAGATATTTTTCTCAAAGGTGCTAATATGTACGTCATTAGGGATTTGCAAATAACAAGACAAAAACGGAGGCACCTGCAATGGTCATGTTCATCTTGCAAACAAGGCTCTGAGGCACCTTATAGGCTCCGTGTTTCTAAGGGTGTCCTTCCTCAACTGACACCCACCACATCTGCCACCTCCTCCCCTGAGTCCTGTCCTCCACACCTGACCCAAAGTCTTTTCCTCTGTCCCTACTCCTTGTCTGTTACTGTGACCAAATATTTGCTTCCTGGTGGTCCTGCCATCTTAGAATGCTACCAATGAAACCAACTGGAGCAATCCATCAAGGCACAAAACTAGGATGGTAGAAAAAACAAGTACACCTTCTTAAGACTCAAGAGCATCTTCATGTACAAGGATTGCAGTACAACTAATGTAGGAATTTCCCGTTTCAAACTCATAATGAGTTAATTTTTCTTTCTTTTTGCTTGCCTACCTCCAACCTTATGCATTTATTTTGTGTATACCTGTACTGGGACATGAACTCAGGGCCTGGGTTCTGTCCTTAGCTTTTATCCCTCAAAGCTAGTGCTGTACCTTCTCTTCTGGATTCTTGGTGGTCAATTTGAGATAAGAGTATCACAGACTTTCCTGGCTGAGTTGGCTTCAAATCATGATCCTCAGATCTCAGCTTCCTGAGTAGCTAGGATTACAAGACTGAGACACTGGTGCCTGACCCCAACCAGCTTTGATGAGGTATAACTGGCAAAAAGAATGTGTTCATATTCAAGGGCTACACATGATATTGTATCATACATACACATTGTAAAATGGTAACTGAAATGGTTACCATCACCACACATAGTTATCTTCATATTATATTAAAGATCTACTGGCTTATCAGACATTGAGTACAGGTTATTGTTAGCCATGTCTCCATGCTCTGCTTACTCATTCCCCCTACTTCCCTCATGCTTCTGAGCCCTGCTCACTACTATTCTTTTTGCTGCTTCTAATCCAAGTTTTTTAGAGTAAAAAAAGAGAGAGAGAGATTGGGAAGCTAGGCACCAGTGGCCCATCCCTGTAATCCTAGCTACTCAGGGTGCTTAGATCTGAGGATCATAATCTGAAGCCAGTCCAAGAAGGAAAATCCTTGAGACTCTTATCTCCAATAAACCACAAAAAGCTGGGCATGGCACTGTGGCTCCAGGGGTAGAGTGCTAGCCTTGGGAAAAAGCAGCTCAGGGACAGCACCCAGGTCCAGAATTTAAGCCCCTGGACCTGGGGAGGGAGGGCGGGGAAAGGTGAGAGGGTTAAAAAAAGTAATAGAGGGGTGACTTTTATTGAAATACTTTATATGCACATGTGGAAATATCACGATGAAACTCCTTTGTGCAATGACTATACACTATTTTTTAAAAGAGAGAATCAAGGATCCCAAGGGGGGAAAATCGAGATCATGCAGTATTTACCTGGATCATTTGATTCCCCACACCCCTTCTGGGTTCCTAGTGAGCTTCTTTTTCATTTTATTACCTCGTGTCTTTTTTTCATTTCACTAGTGAAGTTTTCCAGGGCTGTTACAAAAGCAGAACCATTCAAGTCCTCTGGCTCTTCTTCTGAGGACGAAGGAAAAATGCCTAGTAAACAACAACAATAAAATATTTAAAAAACAACAACAACTAAAACTGTGTTTGAAGTAGACAAGCTTGGTCCATCCGCTGGTTGGAGGATGGAACAATCTGTCAGAAGCCCTAGTACACCCCACTAGCTGCCTAGACCTCACCGTGGAGCAACACTACAGCAACTGTTATAAGCGGTATTCTTAAAAACAATGGTTAGAGCATGCCAGTAGGGACAACTTGGGATAGCAGATTCATTCTAGGTGTTGGTTTCACAAGGGTTTATGAGGTATCTGTTCTAAATGTTTTCCATCCATCTGATGATTTTGTTCCTTATCAAAACCACATGACTGGGAGGGGGGAATGATGGAAGGGGTGACACTCATCAGGATGCATTGCACTCACAAACTGACATACTGAATTGAAACCCTTTTGCATGACTATTTAAGTAGAATAAAAAATTAATTTATAAAAAAATCAAACGTGAATTAGAAACTGCCAGGGTCCACATTGGACATAGAAACCATGTCACTTGCACAAATTCACACCAGCAGTGGCAGGCTTTGAATCCAAGACTTGAACCTACCGCTGTGTGGTGCCTCTAGATTCCAAATTTATCTTTCTCAAAACATGTGATGCCATTCATGCAGGCCAGCCCCACATATACACAAATTTTTTTGGGGGGGTTCCGGTCGTGGGGCCTGAACTCTGGGCCTGGGCGCTGTCCCTCAGCTCTTCAGCTCAAGGCTAGAACTCTACCACTTGAGCCATAGCACCACTTCCGGCTTTTTTCTTTTTGCTTATGTGGTGCTGAAGAATCGAACCCAGGGCCTCATGCATGCAAGGCAAGCACTCTACCACTGAGCCACTTTCCCAGCCCCTACATACACAAATTTTAAATCATTCTCTTTACTTGATATAGCTTAAATAAGTATAAATGAATTTAATTGATATCATGAGTCAATTTAATTGGTATGGACTAATTTAATTAGCATGGATTTAGTCAATAGCCATATATAAGCAGATAAGCAGAGCAAGACCCACAGCTTTGCAATGCTTAGGCCTTGAAGGTGGCCACAAAGAAAAGGGGCAGCCACGCAGATGTCAGCGTGGGAGGCTGACTTCTTTTATCTACAACTTGTGCAACAATTTGCTTTCCTCTTAAGGAACAAAAGGCTCCATTTGAAGGCCTTCCCAGCCACATGACCTGCAGGATGTAACTCCCTTGCAATTCACAGAGGCATATTGCACGCAGATATGTCTAACAGTGGGGGGATGTGAAGTTACCTTCCAAATCGGGGGATCCTGGAGCCTCTTCTTCCAATCTTGACTGCTTTGGCTTAGCCAAACTCCCATCTGGCATGTATAAAAGCAAACATAGCACACTGGTGCCTTTCATCCCAAATTTATCTTGTCCTCTTTTCACACCTTGACATTCTACAAGCGGATCTCATCCCTTGTCTGATACAAATTACTAAGCTGAGCCTAAATAGAAAAGCTGATTTTACACACACACACACACACACACACACACACACACACACACACATATCTGCTGATGCTTGAAGTAGTTTCTAAAGGGATAAGCAACCATTTGATGAGCTAGAACATTCTGCTTAGCAAAGTACAGACAGACTTGATAAACGTAGTGTTCTTAAAAAGCAGTAACCATGGGCTTTAAAAAATATTTTCAGGACTTTACAACTTTGGTGCAGGGGTGGGGGGGGGGAGAATTGGGTGGGGAGGCGGGGGGAGGCTGGGAAGGGATGTGGATGGGAAGGGGAAACAAAGGAGGAGGCTGCAATGCTTGATAAGAAATGTACTCATTATCTTACCCGTGTAATTGTAACCCCTCTGTACAGTATGTTCACAAAAAATAAAAAAATAAAATAAAAATAAAGAATTATATCATAATTGTCCAAAAAGAAATGTATTCTTTACCTGACATGGAGCCATAGCAACCCTGTATATCATCTTTATAATAACAATTAAACATAAAATAAATGAAGCTCCTAAAAAAATATTTTCAGGGCACTCAGCTAAATTGCAGAGTATCACTGGGACTTGAACTCAGGACACTGAACTCTCATTACTTTTTTTTTAACTCTCACTTGTTTTTTTTTTGTTTTTGTTTTTGCTCACAGCTGGCACTCTACCAGATGAACCACACTACCAGTTCCAGCTTTTTGCTGGTTAACTGGAGATCAGAATCTCACAGATTTGTCTGTTCTGGGCTGGCTTTGAACTGTGATGCTCAGATCTCAGCCTCTTGAGTTGCTAGGATAACAGGTGTGAGCAATGAGTGAACGGCTTCTGTCTTCACATATCATCGAGTAACTGTTGTTTCCTCATAAAGTCCTGGGATGTGATTTCTATAATTCGCTCAGTGGGAATGCTGGTGTGAGTTTGGGGAGCTGTGAGATGCGGTTGGCAGACAGTGGAGGAGCAGAGGGCAGGTGCTGTTCCTTCACTCTGTTCCTGCTGCCCTGCTCTCCTTCAGGTCACCAACTATCTGAAGCACATTCTCAAGACCTACGGACTTCGGGGTTCCTTCTGATCGGAGCATTTCCCCCATACAACTGCACTAAAGCTTTCTTTGGACACTAACCTAAATTTTCAATACAGTACCCATTTCTTTCTTTCTTTACTTTTCTTTTTTTTTTCTTTTTTGGTCAATCACAGGGCTTGAACTCAGGGCCCCTGGGCACTGTCTCTGAACTTTTTCACTCAAGGCTAGCCTGGAGATGGAGATTCTGGAGCATATAGAACCCTTCTTTGAAGCACATTGAAGCACAATGCTTGTATTACTCCCACTGCACTAAAGGCCTGGCTCTTCAAAGAAAAGAGACCTCCTCCACAGGAGCAGGAACTATGTCAGGAGAGGATGTGAGTCCTAAATGGTGTCACTGACTTGTTTGTTTCCATAGTAACACATGGGTAGGCAAGGGGAGGGCTCCACAATTAAAACAGCTTTATTTGCATAATGGTTCCAAGGAAATGTTGCCACTGTATGCATTCTCTCCTGCTCTGAACGCAATCCCAGCCCTCTCCCTCACCCCATCTCCACGCTCTTTCACTCTGACTCATCACAGACTTGCAGATTTTTTTTGTATGCTTCTTTTAGGTGGTATTTCCCAACATTCTCACACAAGGGCTAAAACTCCCAGGTGCCATGGCTAATGCCTGGCATCCTAACTACTTAGGAGACTGAGATCTGAGGACTGTGCTTTGAAGGCAGCCTAGGCAGGAAAGTCCACAAGACTCGTACCACCAATTACCAAAAAGCTAGAAGTAGAGATGTGGCTCAAGTGGCAGAGCACCAATCTTGACTCAAAAGCTAAGGGACAATGTCCAGGCCCTGAGTTCAAGCCCTAGTACTGGCACAAACAAAATAGAGGGGGCTACAGCTACCTAAACCACCTTAAAAAGAACAAAGTAAACAGTAGCCATACAAGTGGTCACAGAGAATGCTAGCTCTGAGTGTGTGCTGGGAAGATCTTACTTCCTCAAGAACTCGGCTTTTTTTCAGTTCCATTGAACATTTTCCCACCCAGAGAACTCTCCACTTACCTGGCCTACTGGGCACAAGTTTAATGAAGAGTTACACATCACATTTTGCAACTCTTACTTCCCTAAAAGCCACTTTTAAGGACAGGACCAATCCTATAGTTAATAAGCAAGGGTCCTAAATTAGGGCATTTTAAAATCTTGTTTTGAAGTGACACCTTGTGGCATAGAATGATAAAGGCCAACAGTGTGTGACAAGCCAGAATAGAGTTCTTTATCAAAAGATCTTAGGGGGAAAAAAAACTATACTAAGCGAAGGGAGCCAGATCCAGAAAAATATAGGTCGCGTGGTTTCCCTCATTTGTGGTAGCTAGAATGTGCCTATAAATCTGAAAGTAAACACACTGGGTGGTAAGCAAGGTGCTACCAATGAATTAACTGAAGGGTAAGCAAGGTGTTACCAATGAATTAACTGAAGGGTAAGCAAGGTGTTACCAATGAATTAACTGAAGGGTAATGGACTCTGGGGACAGCATAAATAGTATAAATTTTTTTTAAGACTAAGTCAAAACCCAACAAAATAAGTACCAGGAAATGGGTACTTGCAAAGGGGGAATGGAGGGCTGAGAGGAGAGGGGAAGAAGAATGAAGGGGGAAGTAGGGAGAATTCAGGCAAGAATTTATTGTATATACCACAGAATTGAGAACTGTAAGGGAAAGGGTAGGCCAAAGAGGGGAGGTGTTAAAGTGACACCTTATACATATAAAATGATTTGTTAAATTGCAAAAAATTCAATATATAACCTAAAAGTAAGATAAGCCAGGAAAGGGGAAGGCTGGGAAGGGGAAGGTTGGGAAGGGTAGATGGGACTATTGAAAGGGATGACATTGATTCAAGACGCACTGTATTCATAAACCGCTTCAGTGAATGGCAACTCCTTTGTACACTAATATAATCTATATTATACATTATATTGTTATATGTTATATAAAATATAAATATATAACATTAATATCTTATGAATTTAATATCTTATGAACTTACTAGGATCCGAGAAGCAGAAAAAAGCATAATAAAATTGTTGAAAGCAAAAAGAAAAAGATCTTCGATATGATAGGAAGAGCTCTTTCCTAATGCCAATGTCTTTTTTTTATTCTACCAATGTTTCTTAAGAACTGATAACATACAAAATACCCTTTTTATGGATTGGTGCATTTAAAATATGTAAGCCATTTGACCATAAATATTTATGTGTGACTATAACTGTTTTTTCAAGTATGGAATTCTGCTGAGGTTTATGATTTAATATTAAGGTTTTATAGGTTTCTTAGCTTCATTCTCAGCAATTACTGCATTCTCTCTGCCAAGCTCTGGACTTGATACCCATGGGCCAGAATGAAACAAAGGACCTATCTACCTGACTTCTACCAGATTCTAGAGGCCTTTCTACACAGGTAGGTGAGAATAAAATGCAAAATTGTAAGTTGTCCTAAGTTAACTTGACTTTCTGGGAGCACCACACATAAAAATTCCACAGTGAACAGGAAAACATGATTTTGGCATTTGATTAAAGCTGTTGTTAAGAGTCTGCAGCACTTTTGAAATGTTTTAGGATCTTTGCTTCTGGGAATAAGAGGGTGCTAGAGGTTGAAACCAGATCTTCTCCATCATAAACATGAAATCCAATACTGATGGAGTTACCAGCTCAAAATATTTTCAAGGTAATTGCCTTTATACAGCAGAAATTACTCAAACATCTTTTGAACAATAGCTGAATTTTTTTCCTGGCTACCTATCCTGCCTGCCGCTTCTGGGATGTTTTTTTTTGTTTTTGTTTTTGGGTCCAGTCATGGGGCCTAAACTCTGGGCCTGAGCGCTGTCCCTCAGCTCTTCAGCTCAAGGCTAGTGCTCTACCACTTGAGCCACAGTGCCGGCTTTTTTTTTTCTGCTTATGTTGTGCTGAGGAATCGAACCCAGGGCCTCATGCATGCAAGGCAAGCGCTCTACCACTGAGCCACCTTCCCAGCCCCTGGGATGTTTTTTATTGGTTTCTTAATGATAAATTTGTAGCAACCACCCAAAGCATGGCTTTAATTTAAAAAATTCTGCATTTTAAAATGTTCAATATCAGCCAAGCATTGGTGGCTCATGCCTACTAATCCTAGCTACTCAGGAGGCTGAGATTTGAGGATCACAGTTTGTAGTCAGACCAGGCAGACAAATCCAAGATATTCTTATCTCCAGTTAACCAGCAAAATGTCAGAAGTGGAGCTATGGCTCAAGTAGTTGAGCACTAGCCGTAAGCAAAAGAGCTAAGATTCCGGTTCCTGATTGGATGGAACCCTCATTTGTCCTCTCAGTCTCCATGAACATTGAGAGGTGGTAAGCAGCTCACGCTGATGTGATGGTCTAGTGACAATCACTATGCAGAGTGATTTTTATTGGCTGTAATGTAACCTGAATAATGGCCCAGATTCTTTGTTCCACAAAAGGAGTTTATCATTTTCTCACCTCTGTCTTCCAAGTTTTGCAGCTTATGTTTTAAAGCAGTGTTTTCCACTAATAAGTCTTGGTTCACAATCTGAAACGTACATATATATATATAATTACCATGTATATGCATATATATACACATAGAATACACACACACATACACACACATACCTAATTACAAATTGAGAAGTGGTGCTAGATTATGTTTTAAAAAGAGTAAGCCAAGCTGTGTTCAGGGGGTTCCACCTGTAATTGTAGTTACTCATGCCAAGATATAAAAGTTCATGAGCTGGGTACCAGAGGCTCATTCACCTGCAATCCTAGCTACTCACAGGGCTGAGATGTAAAGATCACAGTTTGAAGCCATCCCAGGCAGCAAAGTCCATGAGACTCCTATCTTCAATTAACCCTCAAAAATCTGGGAGTAGAGCTGTGGCTCAAGTGGTAGAGAACTAGCCTTGAGCAATAAAAGCTTAGGGACAGCAACCAGGCCCTAGATTCAAGCCCCAAGACTGGCACATAAGTTCATGAGACTTTATCCCAACCAATGGCTGGGTGTTGTGCATTTGAAAGCATAATGGTTGGGTGCAGTGGCACATGCCTGCCATCCCAGTGATGAAGAGTAGCACAAATAAGAGAATTCAGGCTGGTCCAGGCATAAAGTGAGACTTTATCTTGAAAATAATCAACACAAAGAGAGACTGATAGAGTGGCTTAACTACAAATGTGCCTGAGTAACTGCAAGGCCCTGGGTTCAAATCCCAGTACTTCTGAGAGGGGGGAAAAGCAGGCAGGGTTAGAAGGTAGATTCAAACTGCACATCATTTGAGGAGAGTCAGGGTGACAAAGGAGATATGATATTCTGAAGAAAAAAGAAAGAGAGAAAGAGAAAGAGAGAGAAAGAGAGTGAGAAAGAGAGAGAACATTGGGAATCACAGAGAGATAAGACAACAGAAAAATATGGAGACACAGAGGCAACAGAGAAAAGCAGCAAATAGATTAAAACACTGTCCCCAGCTTCCTGGAAGAAACTAAAGACACAATCATGAGGTAAACCAGAAGGTCCTGGTGACAGACTGGTTGCAAGGTAGGTAATTCCTTCCCATCTCCCACAAGTCTGAAATGAACATGGGGCTTTGTTGAGCCATCAGATGTTCTATCATGGAAGATAGACATTCTGTCACTGCCCACATCTGAGTGTTATAGCAAGACACCATCTGGAAAGAGGGTCTCTTGTTTGAGATTGTTACCATGAGGGCTAAAAACAAGGAGCCTTGGGGCTGGGAAGATGGCTCAGTGGTAAGAGCGCTTGCCTTGCATGCCTGAGGCCCTGGGTTCAATTCCTCAGCACCACATAAGCAAAAAGAAAACAGCCGGAAGTGGCGCTGTGTCTCAAGTGGTAGAGCGTTAGCCTTGAGCTGAAGAGCTGAGGGACAGCGCCCAGGCCCAGAGTTCAGGCCCCATGACCGGACCCAAAAAAAAAAAAAAAAAAAACAAGGAGCCTTGAGATGCTCTGCCATAGTGTCTGGGTGGTAGCTAGCTAGGAGATGTGGTCATGGAAGGGAAAGTCTAATGTGGTCCCCCAGAGGAACACCAGCAGTTAAGAACATGGTGGCAGAGTTCATGCTTTCCCTGGTGAGGAGCAAATGCAATCCTCTGAGAGTTGTGATCAAAGCAAAGCCCTGAGCTGTGGCTGCAAGGGGTGTTCAGCCTCCAGAGCCTGCCTACTGGCTGCACGTGTTAGCTGCTACAAGGGACTGAAGCCCCGAGCACAAACCCTCTGATTGCTGCCACATCCACAGCCTCCTCCCCCAGGCCACACAGGGAGGTGAACTGTTGGGTCACTGCTGAGAAGAATAAGGCTCACCTCTAGAAACTGCATCCAACCATATTTGCTGACAGGTAGGGCTGAGTATCCTAAGGCCAGATCACCTGAATCATGACATATTCTAAGTCTTCTATCCCTTATGGGGCCTGGACAAGGTCTACCAGCCCTAAGACCAGCAGGCAGAGTATCTGTTAGTTCTCACCCTACCTGGGCACAACTCAGTGCCCTCTGACACAGAGACAAATGCAGGCTCAGAGTAAAATGATAGGAAAAGGCTTTCTACACAAACAGCCCCAAAGCATATGCTCATATGTTCATAGATATGTTCATATCTAACAAAGCAGACTTCAAACAAAAATTTAGTCCTGAGAAGGTCACTTCATATGGATAAAAGAAATGATCTATCAAGAGAATATAACAATTGTAAACACATATGCATGGAATGTTGGTGCTCCAACTTTAATAAAGAAACACTACTGATATAAAAACATAGAGAGAAAAAGTGAAAATAAAAACATAGAGAGACCCAAGACAATAATAGAGACCTCAATACCTCCCTATCACTGATAGATACATAATCCAGATGAAAATATCCACAAAGAAACTTCAGAATTCAATGACACTTTAGAACCAATGGACTCAACAAGCATCTGAAGACTGATCACTGCAACAGAATACACATTCTTTTCAGCCGCCCATGGAACTTTCTCAAAAATGGATTATATTCCAGAACACAAAGCAAGTTTTAACAAATACAAGAATATAGGCGTATTTTTTTATATTTTATCAGACCATGATGAGTAATATTAAAGCCCAATAACAACAGAAAATATTCAAACATCTGGAGAATGAGTATCAGTAGGTTATTTAAAGAATTAAGGACAGGGCCAGTCGCTGGTGGCTCACACCGGAGCTGTGGTTTAGGTGGTAGAGCACTAGCTTTGAGCACAAAAGCTCAGGGACAACTCCCTGACCCTGAGTTAAAGACCCAGGACTGGCACACACACAGACACACAGACACACACACACACAAAAGCAAAGCAGGGAAAAGATATATTTAGTCTATGTGACTGATAAAAGTGTAATGGGCTAGGCTTGGGGGCTCACACCTGTAATCCTCGCTACTCAGGAGGCTGAGATCTGAGGATCGCAATTGAAAGCCAGCCCGGGCAGGAAAATCCATGAAACTCTTATATCCAACAAACCACCAGAAAACAGGAAGTGGTGCTGTGGCTCAAGTGGTAGAGCACTTGCCTTGAGTTGAAAGCTGAGGGACAGCGCTCAGGCCCAGAGTTCAAGCCCCACGACTGACAAAAAGAAAAAAAAAAAAGAAAAGAAAGAAAGAAGGACAGAAATCAGAATTGAAGTCTAGAGTTGAAATGAAAAGGAAACCACAACTTAGCCTTTGAGATACAACAAAGGAAGTGCTAAGAGGGAAGATTGCAGTTATCAGGTTACATTTGTGTTCTAAAGAAAGGAATAGAAGTCGGCGCTGGTGGCTCATGCCTGTAATCCTAGCTACTGAGGAAGCTGAGATCTGAGGGTCACGGTTCAAAGCCAGCCCAGGCAAGGAAAGTCTGTGAGACTTTTATCTCCAATAAACCACTAGAAAACGGAAAGTGGCGCTGTGGCTCAAGAGGTAGAGCGCTCGCGGGGACAGTGCCCAAGCCCAGAGAGTTCAAGCCCCATGACCAACCAAAAAGAAAGACAGAAAGAAAGAAAGGAATAGAAGGAATATACTCCAACATAATTCATACTTTACATGAAAAGCCTCTTGACAATATCATATTAATTAAATGGGGGAAATGAAGCCATCGTCTTTAAAATTAAATACTAGAAAAGTGTGTCCATTTTGTCCACTCTCATTCAATATAGTGCTTGAATTCTTAGCCAGAGCAATAAGGCAAGAGAAAGAAATAAAAAGTACACAAATAAAAAGGAAGAACTTAGCCAGGAACCATTGGCTCACACCACTAATACTTGCTATTCAGGAGGCTGAGATCTGAGGATTGTGGTCTTAAGCCAGCAAGGACAGAAAAGTGTGTGAGACTCTTCTCCCCAATTAACCATCAAAGAGCCAGAAGTGGAGCTGTGGCTCCAACAGTAGAGTGCCAGCCTTGAGCAAAATACTCAGGGACAGTGCTCAGACCCCAAGTGTAAGTTCCAAGGAAAGGAGAGGGAGAGGGAAAAGGAGAGGGAAAGGGAGTAAGAAAGAGAAAGGGAGAGAGAGGAAGTGAGAGAGAGAGACTAAATAGTGCTATTTTCAAGTGATATTATCGTATTATCCAATATTTAAAGACTATAAAGAATCTGCTAAAAGGCTAAGCACAGTGGCTCACACCTGTATCTCAAGATACTGCAGATAAAGCAAGCCCAGGCAAAGTCAGCAGTAAGATCTCATCTCTGCCAATGAGTTGATGGTATACACTATGGTCACAGCTATAGGGGAGGGCACAAGAAGGAAGACAGTGGTTTGAGGCTGGAGCAAGAGGGTGGGGAACAAGGACTTCCTCATTTAAAAAAACTAAAGAAAAATGAAGGTGGGGAGCATGGCTGAGGGAGAGAGAACAAGCCCAGCAAGCACAACACTATAAGTTCAAATCTAATATCACTGGAGGCAGGAGTAGAATTCACCAGCAAAGCTGGTTCAAAACTGTAACCCTAGCTATTCACGAGGCTGAGAGCTAAGGATCACAGTTCAAAATGGCCTGGGCAGGAAAGTTCATGAGTCTCTTATTCCAAGGAACAACCAAAAGACCAGAAGTGGAATAAGGCTCAGGTGGTAGAGGGCTGGTCTTGAGCCAAGTGCCCAGACCCTGAATTCAAGTTCCAGTACACAAACAGTGTCTTAGATTTATAAGCTTTCATTAATATGGCAGAATACAGTCAACAAATGCAAATCAGTTTTTCTATATGCTAATAAGGAACACGATAAAAAAATTAGGAAAAGAAGCCCACTCACAAGAACCTCAAAAAAATTAAATATGGAGAGTGAACCCAACAAAGGAGGTGAAAGACCTCCACAATGAAAATTAGAATACTTCAAGTAAGAAACTAAAGAAGACAGACTGAATGACCTTCCATGTTCATGGAACAGCAAAATTCATATTATAAAAATGGCTATACTAACCAAAGCAAGCTAAAGGTTCAACATAATTCTCATAAAATGTTCAATGCCATTTTTCATAGAAATAGAAAAATCAATCCAAAAATTCATAGAGAAGCATAAAGATACTAACCCTGAGCAACAAGAACAATACTGGAGGTATCCCAATATCTGACTTTAAATTATACTACAGCACCACAGGTTTAAAAGCAGGGGCAGCAAAGTACAAACAGATCCATAGCTTGTCTTCAATGGCTCACATCTATAATCTTATTTACTCAGAAGGCTGAGATCTGGAGGAACATAGTTTGAAAGCCAACCTAGACAAAAAGTCCATGAACTTGTTGTACCCCCAAATACCCAGCAAAAAGCATGGCTAGATATTTGTCTCAACTGATAGAGCAAGTCAGGGTAGTGTGAGGCCCTGAGGAGGAGGAGGAGCAGGAGGAGGAGGAGGAGGGAAAGAAAGAAAGAAAAAGAAAGAAAGGCAGAAAGAAAGAAATAATGAAAAAAGAAAGAGAAAAGAAAAGAAAAAGAGGAGGAGGAGGGAGGGAGGGAAGCAAGGAAGGAGAAAAAGAAGAATAGGAGGATGGACTGGGAAGGTGGCTCAGTGGTAGAGCGCTTGCCTTGCATGCCTGAGGCCCTGGGTTCGATTCCTCAGCACCACATAAGAAAAAATCCAAAAGTGGCGCTGTGGCTCAAGTGGTAGAGCGCTAGCCTTGAGTTGTAGAGCTGAGGGACAGCACCCAGGCCCAGAGTTCAGGCCCCACGACCGGACCAAAAAAAAAAAAAAGAAGAAGAAGAATAGGAGGAGGAGGAAGAAAAAGAAGAGGAACAGAAAGAGGAAGGTGAGGAAGGAGAAGAGGAGGAGGGGAGGAAGAGGAAGAAGAGGAGGAAGAAGAAGAGGAGGAGGAGGAGGAACAATTACTAAAAATATAGACTACAGACCAATGGAATAAGATCCAGAAAACAAGCCTGTGCATCTATAGCCATTTGATTTTTTTCCCAAAAGCTCCAAAAATATGGTGGAGAAATAAAAAACAATCTCAAACAAATGATATTGAGAAAACTTAATGTACACATGAAGAAGACAGAAACTAAGCACCTATCTTTACAAAAACTAATTCGAAGTGAATCAAAGATTCAAATGCAGGACACAAAACCTTGAAACTACTACAAGAAGACACAAAAGAAACACCCTCAAAAAATATATTAATACATATATAACATGTATTATATTATGTAATCTACATAATAGATAGATTAATAAATACTTTTTCTGAATAAGATTCTAATGTCTCAGGAAATTTAAAAAAAATGACAAATGGTATTATATTTAAACTATAAAGCTTCACAAAGCAAAGGAAAAAGTAGAATCAAGATAAATGCAGAGAATGAGAGTAAATCTTTTCCAGCTCTTCATCAAAGGATTAATATTCAGAAAAATAAAGAGCTCCAAAAATTTGACACCAAAGGGACAAACAATGCAATAACAGTTCTCAAAAAGAAGAAATACAAATGGCCAAAAAATATAATCAGGAATATTAAGCCATAAAGGAAATGCAAATCAAAATGACACTGAGCTTCAACCTCAACTCCATCAGAATGGTGGAGTAAACAAACAGCCAACCAATGCTGGTAGGAATGCAAGAGTTGAGAAGGCAGGAACACATATACACTATTGGTAGGAATGTAAATTAGTGAAGCCACTATGGAAATCAGTACAGAGGTTCTTCACAAAGCTAACAATAAGACTAATATAGAACTATGCCTGACCACCCCTGGGAATAAACTGAAGAGATAGCTGTACACTATATTTATAGCACCACAACTCACAAACAGCCAAGTATGAAATCAGCCTAGATGTTTATGACATATATATATATATATATATATATATATATATATATATATGTATGCACACACACACATACACACACAGACACACTGGAGTATTATTTAGCAACAGTGGAAGAGTATTATTTAACAACAGTGGAAGGATGCTATTTTTAGGTGTATGGGTAGAACTAGTGCTAATCATGTTAGGTGAAATAAGCCTGACCAAGAAAGATATATATCACATATTCTCTCTTATATTCAGAATCTAGATCCAAAATAACCACCAAAATAATAATGACATGAGGTAAAACAAGGATACTGTACTGGAATAGAAAACTGGAGAAATGCTGAAAGGAGAAGTTGATTGGGCAGTGGCGGGGTGGGGGTGGGGCACGGAGAGATGGGGATTGAATACAATTGAAGTAATTCATATATATATACATATACATATATAATAAAATCAAAATTTATTGAAAGAAGAGAGAATGGGTTATAAGTAGCAATATTTGATTGAAATATGCATGTCTGGAAACATCACAATGAAACCACCTTTGTAAAATACACAGTAATAAAAATTTTTAAAGAATAAGTCATGTGATGCCAATATAATTCTAACTCTAGAAAATCAAATGAACCGCCACTAATTAAATCATACCTGAGACACATTTTCTTCAGCTTTTGAGTGTTCCAAGGAAGAGCCATCGCTGAATCGGTAGGTACTTTGAAGTTCTGAATGCAAGAGATAACAGTTCCAGATGAATAAGCACATTAAAAGTTTGGCAAAATTCAGCAACCAAGTCAACTTGTGCTGGTAGTCTGATGGGAAATTTTATTCCTGATTCAACATCACTACTTATTATTAGTCTATTTAGTATTTATATGCTCTCATAGTTTAGTTTTGCTAAATATTTATTCAAAAATTTGTTCACCTCTTCTAGGCTTTTCATTGTTAGTATATATTTTTTTCATAAAAATCAGCAATGATTCTCTATTTTTCAGTGGTACTGTTTGTAATGCCTTTTATTTGCATCTCTGACTTTACATAATTCCTTTTCTTCATTAATGTAGCTAAATTTTTTGTTGTTTTTTTTTTTTTAATCAACTCTTGGGTCTGGGAAGGTGGCTCAGTGGTAGAGCACTTGCCTTGCATGCATGAGGCCCTGGGTTTGATTCCTCAGCACTACATAAGCAGAAGAAGCCGGAAGTGGCGCTGTGGTTTAAGTGGTAGAGCGCTAGCCTTGAGCTGAAGAGCTGAGAGACAGCTCCCAGGCCCAGAGTTCAGGCCCCACAGCCAACCAAAAAAAAAAAAAAAAAAAAAATCAACTCTTTAGCCGAGTGCCAGTGGCTCACACCTGTAATCCTACCTGAGATCTGAGGACCATGATTGGAAGCCAATCTTGGAAGGAAAGTCTGTGAGACTCATCTCCAATTAACTACCAAAATGCTGGAAGTGGAGCTATGATTCTCAAGCCTCGAGAAAAAGCAGCTCAGTGACAGCACCCCGGCCTTGAATTCAAACTCCAGGGTTGGCGCGCGCGCGCGCGCGCGCGCGCACGCACGCACACACACACACACACACACACACACACACACACACACACACACACACACACACACACACACACACACACACACACACACACACACACACACACACACACACACACACACACACACACCCCAACTCTTTATTTCATTGATCTTTTTCACTGTTGTTTTGGGGTTGGTTTGCTTTTGGGTGGTTTTGTTGTTGTTGTTTTTTGGTCAGTCATGGGTCTTGAAGTCAAGACATGGGTGCTATCCCTGAGCTCTTTTGCTCAAGGTTAACACACCACCACTTTGAGCCACAACTCTACTTCTGGTTTTCTGGTACTTAATTGGAGATAAGAGTCTTACAGATTTCCTGCCTGGGCTGGCTTTGAACCCTGATTCTCAGGTCTTAACCTCCTGAGTAGCTAAGATTACAGGTATGAGCCACTAGCAACTGGCTGTTTTGTTTTTAAGTCCCTATTTCACTTATTTCTGCTCTAATATTCACATCTTTTCCTCTACTCATTATGGGTTGGTTTGGTCTTATTTTTATAAGTCTTTGAGATGCATATTTAAAGTTTTTCCATCTTTAAACATAGGTATTTGTTGCTAGAGATAGTACTTTTACTGTAGCCCACAGGTTTTGGTGTGTTTCACCTCACTCATTCCAAGAAAAGTTTTTCTATTGAGACTTCCTTGATGTCTTACTACTGACTCAAGAGTGTGTTTGCTCTCCCTACATTTCTATAATTTCTGAAATGTTTGTTGACATCCTCCAGTTTCAGTCCATTGTGATCTTTCTCTCTCCCTCTCCCTCCCTCTCTCTCTCTCTCTCTCTCTCACACACACACACACACACACACACACAAACCCACAGCCTAGGACTTCAATTTTGTGAATTTGTTAAAGCTTTTTTGTGGTCCAATACATGGTCTTGTCTAGAGAAAGTTCCATGTGTTGTTGAAAAGGCTATGTTCTCTGTCTGTTGGATGGAATGTCTGTAAATAGTAATATACTCCATCTGACCAGATCTTTCTTTGTAAATTTTTGGGGGTTTCTATGACCCACGGATGAGTGGGTTGTTAAAGTTCTCACTGTTACCATGTTGGAGTCTGTCATCTCTTTAGGTCTCTTTTATGTTTTTGTAAAACAAAACTGAGCCAGAAACCAGTGGCTCACACCTGTAAGCCTAGCTACTCAAGAGGCTGATATCTGAAGAACCAGGCTTCAAAGCCAAACTGGGTAGGAAAGCCTACGAGACTTTTATCTTCAATTATCTACCAAAAAAAGCTGGAAGTGGGGCTATGGCTCAAGTGGTAGAACATTAGCCTTGAGGAAGAAAAGCTCAGGGACAGCACCCAAGTCCTCTAAGTCCCAGGACTGGCACAAAACACAAACTATAAAACTGAGTTCACCAACAGTTACATATATCTTTATGAATTTCCTTGATCATTTGAGCACTATATAGTAGCTTTCTTTGCCTCTCAGTTTTTCTCACAAATTCATGTTGTCAAGTGTAAGTATAGCAATTCTTGCTCACTTTATGTTTTAATTTATTTAAAATATCATTTATCCAGCCTTCCTCTTTTAAACTATGTCTTCACTGAGGCGGGCAGAATGCTTTTGGGTCTATTTGTAGCTTTTCTTTGGAGGGTTAAATCCACTGACATTTAAGATGGATAGATGAGCAATGGTTTCTTTCATTTTGTTCTTTTCCTCTAGTCATTTTGATCATTTGGTCTTCCTCTCTTCATCTTTTTGCTTTGATGATTTTCTGTAATATTATTTTCTAGTTCTCTGTATCCACCCTTCCAGTGGCATGTACACTTTCCATATTTTCATGACAGTAGCTACCTTTCATTTCTGGCTGTCCAGCTCCCTTACGAATCTTTTGGAAGGCTAGCTTGGTGATCATGAATTCCCTCTTTTTATTTCTCTTAGAAGCTATTCCTTCATTTTTTTTTTTTTTTTTTTGGGTCCGGTCATGGGGCCTGAACTCTGGGCCTGGGCGCTGTCCCTCAGCTCAAGGCTAGCACTCTACCACTTGAGCCACAGAGCCACTTCCGGCTTTTTTTCTTATGTGGTTCTGAGGAATCGAACCCAGGGCCTCGAGCATGCAAGGCAAGTGCTCTACCACTGAGCCACCTTCCCAGCCCCTGTTCCTTCATTTTTTAAGGGTAGCTTTTCTGGGTATAGCTGGAATTGATTTTCTTCCAGGATTTGTCTTTCAATGGATTCCTAAGGTCAAGAGTTTCTGCTCAGAAACCTGTAGCTAGTCTAATGGGAATACTGTTAAATGTAACAAGTGTTTCTCAAATTTCCTCTCAAAAGTTCTTTGTCATCTTAACACTTTTGACAGGTTAATGTATCGCAGATTCTAATTTCTCACTGACCCTTGAGTTCTCCTGTCAGCATTTCAAAAATGCAGCTATATACCTGTTACTTTTATACTCTGTGGGAGAGCAACAGAATTTTGGCCACTAGAAACAGGAATCATGAGAAAAAGAGAGATGGATTTGGGTATGTTAATTTTGTACCTTGTCTTCTTATTTTTGCGGGGCCTGGGCGCTGTCCCTCAGCTCTTCAGCTCAAGGCTAGCGCTCTACCACTTGAACCACAGCACCATTTCCAGCTTTTTTTCTTTTTGCTTATGTGGTGCTGAGGAATCGAACCCAGGGCCTCATGCATGCAAGGCAAGCGCTCTACCACTGAGCCACTTTCCCAGCCCCTGTACCTTGTCTTCTTGTAATGTGATTTTGTATCCTTGACACAAAACTTTACTGAGCTGATGAGTTTTGTTTTGTTTTGGGTAGTTTTGGAGTCTTCTCTCTATAAGCTCCAGTTGTGAGCCAACAGTTAAACTTTTCCAATATGTCTCTGCCTTGCCTGATTGCTCTGAGTAGGAGTTCCAGCACAACATTGAGCACAAGTGGTGAGAACAGACACCTTGCCATCGCCTTCTGACCCTAGAGGAAATGTTTTCAGCTTTCACCAATGAGTAATGTTAGATGTGGGCTGCTTGTATCTAGCCTCTAATAGGTGGAGGAATATTCCTTATAGATTGAATGTGTTGAGCAATTTTATCATCAAAGGATGTTTATTTTTTTTCCTTTTTTTGTGCCAATTTTGGACCTTGAACTCTGGACCTGGGTGCTGTCCCTAAGCTCTTTTTCTCAAGGCTAGTGCTCTACCACTTGAGCTATATATAATACCACTCCCAACTTTTTCAGTGATTGATTAGAGATAAGAGTCTCAACCAGGCTACCAGTGGCTCTCACTTATAATCCTAGCTACTCAGGAGGCTGAGATCTGAGGATCACAGTTCAAAGACAGCCCAGGCAAGGGAAGTCCATGTGACTCTCATCTCCAATTAACCACCAGAAAACCAGAAGTGGCACTGGGGTTCAAGTGGTAGAGCAATAGCCTTTAACTGAGGGACAGCACCCAGGCCCAAGAGTTCAAGCCCCACAAGCCACAAAAAAAAAAAAAAAGTCTCACAGACTTTCCTGCCAGGCTGGCTTTGAACCACAATCCTCAGATCTCAGCCTTCTAAGAAGCTAGGAATAAAAGCATGAACCACCAGTACCAAACTGAGTGTTTACTTTTTCAGACATTTTTTTCTGCATCTATCGAAATGATCATAATTAGTCACATTTAGGGATTCTCCTTTACTTGGTTTGTGTAGCTAAATGTCAATTTTGTCACAAAATCATGATCCTATAAGAAGCCCAGAAAAGACAGAGAAATGAATCTATATTGGACATTATAAAGAGAGAACTCCAAAACTACCAAAAAAAAAAAAAAAAAAGGTATCAGGTAAGTTCCAAGGATACAAAATCAGCACACAAGAATACAAGGTACAGAAATCAACTAGCTTTATAGATCTATTTCTCTTTCTATATATTTTTCATTTACTTCAGTTCTAATCATTATTGTCTTCCTTCTACTAGCTTTGGGCTTAGTTTATTTTGTTTCTTGCAGTGTGAAATTAATTTGTTCAAGATTCTTTTTTTAATGAAGGCATTGATTTCCGTAACCTTCCCTCCTAGTGTCTTTTGCTACATCTTACACATGTTGGAGTATTTCATTTCCATTTTCTTTTGTCTCAAGGCACTTTAACTTACACTTTTATGTCTTCTATGGCTCATTGGTTGTTCAACACTGTATTGACGGTTTTCTGTGTATTTGTGAATTATCCCCCAATCTTTCCTGTTGGTAATTTCTAGTTTTGTACCATTGTGATCAGAAAATGTACTTGTAACCATTTTAATCTTAAATGTGTTAAGACTTTCTTCTTTTGTGGCCCAGCCTGCCCAGGAGGAGGAGATTTGGGGGAAGGCATGTTATGCTGCTACCTGGAATGGTGTCTGTCGGGGCCATTTGTCCCCTTTCAGTACCCAAGTTCACGGTTTTCTGCCTCCACGATCTCTCCATCCTTGAAAATGGCTAACTGAACTGATGCTGTGTTATGAACTATTTCTCCTTTAAGATATTTGCCTTACATATTGAGGTGATCCAATATTAGGTGCATATATATCTACAAATGTTATTATCTTCTTGGTGAATTGACCCCTTTATCCTCATATAGAAATTATCTATCATGACAGATTTTATTAAGCATTTATTGTCCAACTATAGATACTTCTGCCGCTTTTTTTTTTTTTTTTTTTGGCTGTCATTTGTATGGAATATCTTTCTTCCAGCCTTACACTTTTAGCCTATGTGTTTCCTTCAGGCTAATATGAGTCTCTTGTAGACAACATATCGCTGAGTTTGTTTGCTTGTTAATCTAGTCAATCAGTGTTTCTTTTAATTGGATAGTTTAATCCATTTACAAAGTAATCACTAAGAATAAGGACTCACTGTTGTCATTTTGTTCATTATTTTTTTGTTTCAATTTCTTTGGTCTTTTTTCCCCTCTTGCTGCCTTCTTTGTTGGTGCTACCTATTCTTCTCTCCTTTTCCCTTTCCCTATTTTTTTTCCTGCCAATAGCAGCTAGGCTAAGAGGCTGTCAGCCAAATGTTTAATAAGTGCCATTACATGCCCAACAATGGAATAAGCTATAGAATGATGAATGTAAACAAAAGAAAAGCTCTACATCTACAAACATAAAAGGTGCAAAGAATTACAATAAAGTTTAAAAACTAAAAGTTAAAGCTTTGTTAACACTGATGGCTTATCCTGTAATCCAAGCTACTCAGGAGGCAGAAAAATCTATGAGACTCTTATCTCTATTTAAGCAGCAAAAAGCTAGAAGTGGATCTGTGGCCCAGCTGTAGAGCACCAGCCTTGAGTGAAAAAGCCAAGCTAAGTGGGAGACGTGCGCGTGCATGCGCGCGCACGCACACACACGCACACGCACACACACACACACACACGCACACACACACGCACACACATACACAGAGAGAGAGAGAGAGAGAGAGAGAGAGAGAAAATCACAGAAAATCTGCCCCCCCCCCAGACTAGTGGGCTATTTAATTTTATAACTGTAAACAGAAATACATACACACCGCTCCCTGGCTTATATCTTCTCTGTGTCTTATTCAGTGTTGCATTTGTAAATTGTAACAGAAAGCACACAGGTTTCTGACAGTAAAGGATTTATTATCGATCCTTTCAAAAAAAATTTTACCAAGCTTTGCCTGGAACCATTTGAGTTGAATTGCATTTTTATTTGTTCATTTTTGTTTTCTGCTTGAACTCAGGTCCTAGGCACTATTCCTGAGCTTCTTTTGCTCAAGGCTAGCACTCTACTACTTGAGCCACAGCACCACTTCTGACTTTTTCTGTTTATGTGGTACTGAGGAATCTAACCCAGGGCTTCATGCATGCTAGGCAAGCACTCTACCACTAAGCCACTTTCCCAGTCCTGAATCTCAGATAGTGAATCTCAAAGTGAAATTAAGACATGTGATCTTCCTTCCTTTGCTAATGGAGACATTAGATGGGGGAAAAAAACACCGTTTCTTTACACTTTCAGCATCTAGATATTTTTTCAAGATGTTGCGTTTCACACTTCCCATCCCCAAATATAATTGTTTTCTACATAAATCAACTGAAAAGTGCATACCTACTTTCTGTGCAGAATCTTTAGGAGTTAAGAAGGCGGAACTACCTTGGGGTTTTGTTCCAGAAATCGTGGGAGGTGTGGTGTTGTTTTGCATGGGGAGGCCTTTCCATACTGGTGTCAGAGTGTTAGCCTAAAATATAATCCTTGTTAAACATTCATAACCACTCAAAGCTTTGTATCAAAACTTGCAAGATACTTTTGATATTTTTAAAGAAAGTTGAAGTACCGGATCTCTTGCATTCAATAATAAGCACTAAGATATAAGATCCCAAAAGTGCCACATAAGCCACACCACCAGCTCTTTCATTTTGCAGTTTGTTTGTTTTTTTGAATACCATCTCTAACTTTGCCTGGGATGGCCTGGAACTTGTGATTCTCCTGTCTCCATCTCCAAAGAAGATGGGCTTGGCAGTCATCTGTGTGCTAGCAAGCATTCTGGGCATTTTGATTATTACTCAAGTTTGAGAAACACTTCCAATTAGGGATTGGGAAGATAAACCTACTGCTTATTCTTGTAAATAAAGCTTTATTGGAATGCAGTGCACCTGTTCATTTCCATACCCCACTTTGTAGCTTTCTGGCTACAAAGGCAAAGTTGATTTGTTGCCACAGCGACTATGTCTCAAGAAATTTAAATATTTATTACTTGGCCTTTTACAAATGATGTTTACCAATGCTTGCTCTACATTCTTGTCTCAGAACTCTGGCACAGAAAATAATATTTGAAACTGAAAACCAACAATGCTCTCACTGAAATTAACTCAGACTTTTTGTTGGTTAATCAGTTTGAGTCTCAAACCTGTAGTGTTTCTTTGATGTTTATTTAAAACCAAAACTGTGTCTATTTGAATCAGTTCCTTTGGTTCATTCTTCTAAGAGACAATTCATTATTTCAGGTTGATTATTGAACCAATAGTTAAGGACAGCTGTAATCCTAGATACTCACGAAGCTAAGATTCAAAGGATTGCAGTTTGAAGCTAGATAAGGCAGAAAAGTGTGCTAAATGACTATCTCCAGCAAAAAGCCAGGCTGGAGGTAAGACTCCATGAGCAAGCAAGCAAAGCCTCCTTGCTCAGTTCTAAGTTCAAACTCCACAATTCTGCCTTCCTGAAAAATGCTGAGGACAAAACCACAGACTCCACATCCACAAATTCAACCAAGTGTGGATTTTAAATACTCAGAAAAACATTACCAGTTGTAGTCATGGTGTACAAGTATTTTTTAGTCATTACTTCCTAAACTATACAACAAAATAATGAATTTACACATTACATTTCATCTTAAGTCATCTAAAGACAATTTGAAGCATAAAGAAGGATCTGCATAGGTGACAGGTCTGTTCTATGCCATTTTATGAGGCTTGATCTTACAGATTTAGTATCCAATCAGGGTCCTGGAATCAACCAGCCACAGATACCAAGGAATAAGTATCCATACTCTAGCATGTAGATTTGACCTATCTCTGTCCTTAGGGAACGAGACCCCGGCAGGTGGAACCAGTGGTTTGAACACTAGCTGCACAGTGTATTTCTGCACGAGTCAGGAGATACTCAGAATCGCAGCAGCCACACCTTATAAAGCTCCTGTATACTAGGTGATTATCTCTGGTTCATATATTTCATTCATATATGTAAAATGTATTGATGTATATCTAGATGGATGTACATATATAATTTCATTATGTATAAATGCTGAAATTATCAGAACCTCAAAGTAACATGTCAAAAATAAAATCAATAAGTTTGCTTTAAAATGCAGCTAGTTCAGGGAGCATATTTTTGTAGGAAGTCAGTTTCCTGCATCCTTCATAATAAAGATCCTTTAGCAGTGCCTGGGAACTATGAGAAAAACTTCTCCATCTTTACCTAAGATTCACACCAAAGGCCGAGGAGTCCTTGCTGGAGTCCTTGCTGTTTCTACTGGCAGTGAGCCATTGGTTTTTTGCTCTTGCATTCTCAGAAAATTATCTTGTGTTTTGGTTTTGAAATAAATGCCGTTTGATCCACAAGGCCCCACAGCAGCCCAATAACGTTTACTTACTCTGTGTTTCTTGAGATCACTGCCACTATTGACGGGGGAAAGCGGCAATACTAAAATACAAAAGAAAGTAGGTACACAAAGAACATGTGGATCAAGATGGAAGGAAATCCACTTTTCGCCCTCTTCATTAGGTAACCCAGTTCCCATTTGGGACAACTTGTTCAAGTGTCTACTCTTTGGGTGCTGTTCTAATTATTCAATCATACTTCTCCCACCAGCATGAATTTGTGGCTCCAAAGCCCTCACCCTCCAATGTCAAACTCTGATCTTGGTTTCACTTTGGTAATTTTATCTCAGCCTCTTTTTTTTATCAGTTTTACCTTTTTAGCCAGTTTTACCTCTCAGCTCTTCAAATCCTGTTCCTTTTCTGAGAGTTATCTCTCACAGATGATTCCTTACAGATGATTCTAGCTCATGCCAGATTCTTCTGACCTGAACTCCCGGTCCATTTACCCATGACTCACATCTAACAATTGCTGGTTAAGTGCATATTCTTGGCCTTGGCCTTTCTGATGTAACTCTCACAGGGATGAGGCCTCACATCACACATTTCTTTGGTACCCTTTCTCCCATCACATGCTGAAAAATAAGTATTTGCTGCTGTATGTGTGACAAAGGAAGACAAGCAGGAACTCACTTCCCTTTTTTTTTCCTCTAGGTCTGAGACTCAGACTCAGAACCTGAGGCCGCTTTCACTCATTGGCTAGCTGTCTACCAACTGAGCCTCGCCTCCAACCCCAGGTACTCACTTCTCATGCTATGGTTGACGCTTGACTTTCTTCTCCTAGAGTATGGCTTTAGGTATTTCCTTTTGCTGTTACTGGTCCAGGATTTCTCACTGGGACTAGAACTTGAATCTTTACTGTCATCAGAGAAGAGATGTTTCCTGTAATTAGACTTTTACAAACACTTCTGATCAGTAAGAACCTTCAATAGGAGGAGAATGTCACTTATGTACAAGTAAACATTTTGCTGCATGCAAACTAAACATGCTATAATCAAACATAAGAGAAGCAAATTATGTTAGAAGACTGTGCTCTCTTCCATAATAAAAACGTACAGAAGGAAGGAGGGGGAGGAAAAAAAGAAGAAAAGGATTATTCTTTTTTTTTTTTTTTTTGTGATTCCCAACCAAGCTGCTAAATACAAAGGGTGACAAGTCATCTTTGATCACATTTACCACTGGAGAACAAAAGCAGCGGACCTGAATATTATGCCAATACCACAACTCCAAAACATAAATTCAAATGGCAAAGCATAGTTGAAATGTTTTTTCCAGACTAGGAATGTAGTCAGGACTCTAGGCTAGCAATGGAACTCAGTGGTAAGCATATGCAAAGCTCTGGGGTTGATGCCCAGAACAAGAAAACAAAACGACAGGTTTCTCTACATCTTAGAAGACCCAAACACAGATAGAAGGCTTTTGGAAACATTTTTGAAATTAAGCCTGGCTATAAAAGGTTATAAATTTAGAACAAGATTAATCTATTCAGGAAAGGTAATTCAAGTGTACCTTAATATATACACACATACATGTATACATATATATATATATATATATATGTATGTATAGATACATGTATATGTGTATATGCATATATGTTTGCATTCATATGTATACATGCATGTATTGTGCCAGTACTAGGGCTTTCACTCAGGGCCTGGTGCTGTCCCTTACCTTTTGCCCAAGGCTGGTGCTATACCACTTAAACCACACCTCCATTTCTGCCTGCCAAGAGTCTCACCGACTTTTCTGCCCAGGCTAGCTTTGAAACACAAACCTCAGATCTCAACCTCCTGAGTAGCTAGGAATCCAGTTGTGAGCCACCAGCACCCAGCTGATATTTATACTTTTTATATTAAGAATTGCCTTAAGATTAAAAAAAATTTACATTACCGACTTCCTTCTTTCTTGTTTTCGGTCACCCTCAAAAGCAGAGTCTTCCCTAAAACCATTGAGACCAAATTTAATGGATTAGTGCAATTATCACCTGCCTGAGTCCCTCAGGTCTCACTTTTCCCCCTCCTGAGCCATGTCCCCTGCTCCTGAGCTCCACGCACAGGAAGTACCCATTCATACTTCTTATCTTGCAGGATATTTCCACAGATTATCTGGCAGAGAAGGACCACTTATATAAATAAACAAGTAAAAAGACAGGGTAGGATCTGCAACCACATAATGCTAAGGTGTGGCACTTCTATTCCCTGGCCCCAGGGGTGACTGCGGATGCTGAGCATCTGTATACATCGTAGCCACCAGTGGGTGGTCTTTGAAGAAATGTCTATTCACAACATATATACATATATATGCACACATGTACATCTACACACATATAACCATCTACACACATATGTACACATGCAGGTGCTTATACATATACATATGCATGCATGTGTGCATGTATATATATGTACATGTACATGCCATATAGCCATACACTGGCATGTATGTGCATACACACATGTGTGTGTGCATGCATATGTGTATGTGCATGTGTCTGTATGTATGTGCATATAGATGTATATACATATATACATGTTTATGGGCTATTATACACATGTATACATGTATGCACATATATAACAGTTCTGAAATGCTGTGGAGTAACTGGAACCCTCCCACACTGAATGCCAATAAAGCTTCTGTGGGAAGCAGCATGAAGATACCTCCAAAATTGAAAATACAGCCAGGCCCTGGTGCCTACCCCTGTAATCTTAGCTACTCAAGAAGCTGATGACTGATGATCACAGTTCAAATCCAGCCTGGGTAGAAAAATTAGTGAGACTCTTTTCACCAATTAACCAGCCCCCCCCCCACGAAATAAAACAACACACCAGAAGTAAAGACTTGACATCAGTAGCCGAGTATCAGTGAAAAGGCTAAAGGAGAATGTGAAGCCAAGTTCAAGCCCCAGTACTAGCCTGCACACACACAAACACGCACACACAAATTAACTAGAAGTAATATGTGACTTATCAATCCCACTTCTGGGTCAATATCTAAAGGAATTGAGATCAGGTTGTCAACAAAAAGCTGATAGTCCTTATCCTACAAACTCTAAATGCAGCTGGTGCCGGTAGCTCACGCCTATCATCCTAGCTACTCAGGAGGCTGAGATCTGAGAATCACAGTTCAAAGCCAGCCTGGGCAGGAAAGTCCTTGAGACTCTTACCTCCAATAAACCACTAGAAAACCAGAAGTGGCACTGTGGCTCAAGTGGTAGAGCGCTCACCTTGAGCTGAAGAGTGCAGGGACAGCACCCAAGCCCAGAGTTCAAGCCCCATGACCAACCAAAACAAAAACAAACAAAAAAAAGAAACTCTAAATGCTCCAAGATGCAAAACTTAAAGAGTGACAGCATCACGTCTCAGTGGAGAATGCCACTGTTGGTATCCTGCAGTGAAGTGGCAGGCATGCAGGCATACTGAAACTGCTGTGTAATTTGGCCTTCAGCCTGTGGGCATAAGGTATACATGGAACAAAAAAAATTTTGTGTTTAGACATGGGTCCCATTGCCAAGGTATCTCATTATGTGTGTGCAAATATTCTAAAACTTGAAATCTGAAACACTTCTGTTCTAGGCATTTGGGATACAGGATGGTCAGTTGGTATGAGGTACAGAAACATCACATTATGCCCTGTGAATCTGTACACCTATGTCGTGTAATATCAGAATAAAATTTTAAGTCACTTACTTAGAGTTGTCACCTAATTCAGGAACCTGACTTTGAACTGATGCTTCTTGTACATTTGAAGAATTCACCTGCTTTGTAATAACTCCAAAATAACAAAGAATAAAAACAAATTCAACATTCTGCATCTTCAGGAAACATTTAGATACTAATTGGGTCTTAAAATCTATAAAACATATCAGACCTTGTTCTGTATCTGGTTTTGATTTTTCGGGTGATCGATCAGCTGCTTTTTTTGGCTGCAAGAAGAAGAAAAATATGTTATGATTCCTTTGAGGTCTCTTGAATGTCTTTTGTAACTACTTCACAATTCTTAGGAAAAGCATCCTAATGGAAACCCAAACTCTTTATTTACTCAACCTGGCTCTAAATAACCATTGGCTGCTCCAAAAGCTTTGTATCCAGTCACAAGAAAGGGTTTGTTACTATGTAAGAGAGTCACAGAGTGCAACCTTGGCAGAGAAGAAAATGGCAGCATCTCATCTCAAGGATTAATGTTGGTTGTTAAACATAATAATCATGACACCACCATCACATTTCTGTAGGATGTACTCATGTGGGGTAATTAATTAAAAAACTAAGTATCTATATATAACAAGCAGGTGCTCTAGCATATTTTCTTTAATTTCTTAACTGCCACATGCACAAATTATGTACATTAATGTAATCTTTTGATGCTTGAGTATACCGTAAAAAAAATTTTTTTTGGGGGGTCCGGTCATGGGGCCTGAACTCTAGGCCTGGGCGCTGTCCCTCAGCTCTTCAGCTCAAGGCTAGTGCTCTACCACTTGAGCCACAGCGCCACTTCTGGCTTTTTTTCTTTTTGCTTATGTGGTGCTGGGGAATCGAACCCAGGGCCTCATGCATGCAAGGCAAGCGCTCTACCACTGAGCCACCTTCCCAGACCTACCGTGAAATATTTAAATTAAATGTTTTTAACATTTATCTCTATCTTCTTCCCCTGCCCCCCCCCCACCTTTTGTATTGTTTTGTGGGTTGGTTCTTTTTTTTTGAGACAGTCTCACTGCAAAGCCTAGATTGAACTAGAACTCTCAGTCTCAGCCTCCTGAGTACTTAGATACAGGTGTGAACCACCATGCCCTGCCCTGAGTATCATTTCTTTGTGATGAACACATTCATAGTCCTTCCTTTCCAGTGCTCTGAAATACCCAGTGTTGTTATCTGTAGTCATCCCACTGGGAAATCTTACCCCAGAATTTCTCACTCCTGTCTAGCTGTAATTTTCCACCCATTTTCTAAAGCCTAAGGCCACACCTATGAACTTGCCATCACCACTGATAGGAAGCCCCAGCAGCAGTATTGTTAATTTGTCTAAGTGGTCCCAGAGCTAGTTCATGCCCGACTCCCAACACTGGGTTCCTTTCCCTGCACATTACTCTCCAGATCCCAAATGAGTAAACAAGGCAGAGATCAGCCCTGCATGCATTTCACAAAGGAGAGCACCTACACACTTAGCCAACAAAAATAATCTAGCAGAGGAGATGTTCAAGACTTTGGCAGCTGGTTGGCCAGGAGGAAATGGTCTACAGGGGAGGAGGGAAGGCATCTGCTTGTCAGTACCCAACAGGACATAGCACCACCTTCTTTTTATCTGATACTCACATGAGTCGTCTCAGGCTGCTGGTTCCAGGGAACTGTTAAGAGGCAGCGGTCCTCCTCAGCACCACCTAACTCCACCAGGTCAGTGGATTCTTCTGCCTGCTCTATACATGTTCAGAACAAAGCAGTAAAACCTGACAGCCTTCCCACTACTCTTCCTTGAACCACCGCCCCCCCTTCCAGTATGTTACCAAGTTTTTGGTAAGAGCTAAGAGTTAGGTTTTGCCTCAAATTAGAAACCACAGACCTTAGGAAGAAACCCTGTGTAAGCTGGTCCTTTGATGCCTCCTATTTTGAGGTTAAATTCTAATGACAAAGATTATTTGTTCCCCGACACTGCCAACATATGATCTGTCTCCATTTAGATTAGTCTTCATTTCTCTCAGCAGTGTTCTATACTCTTCTATGTGTATGGGGGTGGGGAGGGTCTTACAAATCTCTTTTTGAATGCTTATCATATTTTAAATACTATTATAAAAAATCATTGCTTTTAATTTCTCTTAGCACGTGGGAATAAAATTGATTCCTGCTGACCTTCTGTCCTTCAATCTCAGATTGTGCTTTGCTGCAGATAAATGCCCTATGGGAGGTAACACTACAGGTATGATGGTAGGAGCCTCCTGCCACCCAGAAGTCCTGCTCTTTGTCATTTCTAACTGACCCCTAAAAGAGACATTAGCAGATGTCTAGTCAGTCTCCCCTCTCTCTTTCCCATGTCTCCTTCCTTTCTTCCCCTCTCTCATCCTGGAACTTGAACACAGAACCTTGGTACTGCCTTTTAGCTTTCTTTGCTCAGGGCTAGCACTCTACTACTTGAGCCAAAGCTCTACTTCTAATTCATTGTTGGTTAATTGTAGGTAAGAGTCTCATGGCCTTTCCTCTCCAGGCTGGCTTGGAACTGTGATCTTCGGATCTCAGACTCCTGAGTAGCTAGGATCACAGGTATGAGCCACTGGCTCCCAGCTCATGCCTCTTACTCTTATCTAATGACCCTGAGATTTCTGGGACCTTTTCAGGAAAAGGATCATCATGCTTTTATAGAGAGTGTTAATAAGGGATCATCATGCTTTTACAGCGTGCAGAATCTGAACATACCTGTTTCTCCTTCATCGCCATTAGGCCTCTCATTGTCTTCTTTTTTGAGCGTACTGGAAAGTTCTGAGGAGATTTTCATCTGTTCAGGCAACTTCTGAAATGTAAACCCAAAACCCTATCATTTTAAAGGCAGTTGCTTTACAAAGTGGGGGAAGGATTTTAAAGCGTATAAATGATACATTGACAAATTAGTCTTCTCTTTGTCTCCTTTTGAAGGATCCTTTGACTGTTCCCAGTTCTTGTTGCCTCCCCTCCTTCCAAGACCAGGTCTGGTGTCTTCCCAGCTGCTTTGCTTTCATCTGCTCCTCACATTTCCCGGGCTATAATCTCATCCCCAATACAGTAGTGTTGCAAGGTGGGAGATCTACCTTTATGAATGAAAGCTCTATCCTCATGAATGAATCCACCTACGCATGGATGAGTGCATGAGTTCAACACTTCCGGAGTGGCTCTGTTCTAAAAGGGAGCTCTCCCTAGCACACGTGTTCTGTCCAGTCTTCCAATGCCCTGTGCCATGCTATTATGCAGCAAGACCTTCGCCAGAGGCTGAGTCCATGCCAGGCCCTTAGGCCTCTGACTCTTGAGAAACAGGAGCGACATGACCTTTTACCCCGCCTCTCATATTTACTGATGTGTCAGGAGCATCAGGCCATGCTCTCCCGTCTTTACTCTCGGTCTTAAGCCCCTGGGTAACTTCTAATCCCTGCTTCACGCAGGGACTGAGGCTGTCTCTGGCATGATTGCAGTGAGCTCCTCACTCCAGCATGCTCCAGTCCCATCCGCGCCCACAGGGGCTCCTACTCTAGCATTAGGACCTTCATCCCACACACACCTCCCTCTCAAACCTTTTGATCATCATAAAATGTGCAAATGCCTGTGATTTTAGTGGTTTTCCTAAAGAAAGGCAAACTTGTCAGGTCAGGCCAAATCATCATGTAATGTGACCGGGAAGGTTATTTTTGTTTTACTTCAGCAATTCATTTTCCTTATTTCTCATCCTCATCCATGAGAAGGCTCTGAAACTTATATTTTTATACCACTTGGTTATCTATAAACTACCTTCATATACAACCCACACCAACAAGAGGCTGGCCAAGACTCCCTGACTTTAGGCCACTGACCACGTTAACACTCCACTGGCCATTACCACTGTCTCCTCTCACAAAGTTCTTTGCTTTGTCTACTCCGTGACAGAGAAAAGCGCTTGTTGTATGTACACAGACAGAGACCCCAGCAAGGTGGGAGATATACAGATCATTGCCACAGATAAGTCTATGGGGAGAACTTAAGAGAAACTCTGTGAAAAGCCCTTTTCATCTTCCCTTTTCCCCCCATTCCACCCCTGCTGGGCCCAACCCAGGGACTCTTGCTTCCCAAGCAAGTATTCTACTACTGAGCTACATCCCCAGTCAAGAAACTCTATCCTTAATTATTCCCCCATGGCTAGAAGTTGTTCAGAACAAGAGATGAAGCAGCCCTGAGGGCACATAGCCTCAGGATCCCCAGAAGAACAAGGTGAAGAACTGTTCCCAATGTGTGGAAGAAAGCACCGCAGGGCACAGAGGCTTTGTCACCTACAAGGTGAGGACAACAATGGAGAAGAAGGAAAGTAATGGGATTGGAAGCTAGAACTCTCAACTTGTCTCATTATAAAGATCACGGCTTCTGCTTGGACAAATAGTCATATCCAAACGCAATGAAGTTTTTTGTTGTTTTTTTTTTTTTGGTCTGTCACAGGGCTTGAATTCAAGGCCTGGGCACTGTCCCTGAGTTCTTTTTGCTCAAGGCTACCACTCTACCACTTTGAGCCACAGCTCCACTTCCAGTTTTCTGGTGATTAATTGGAGGTAAGAGTCTCATGGACTTTCCTGCCCCAGCTGGCTTTGAACTTTGGTTCTCAGGTTGCAGCCTACTGAGTAGCTTAGATTACAGGTGTGAGCCACCAACACCCAGCTCCAGTGAAAAATTTAAGAGATAAGAAACACATTTTAACATTGTAAACTCATCAAAAAGAGCAAAATCTACTACCTGTCTGTCTTCCCCTATAGCTTGAATGGTTGCTTGTGATATGTCAAAGAGCACATCAAAATGGATTTCTATTTTCATCACTTCTTTCTGGTTGATAATAAGTGGCTTCTTCAGGTTCACAAGGAGCACCTTCATCGTCTCAGTTTCTAACAACAATAAAAACATAGTACACCATGAGTATTAGTGCAGTAGAGAGTTTAAAGTGCTATGATGCTAAACAACTGCATAGTATGTGTCTCAACTCTCCAGATCTCTCTGAAATAAGATGATGAAATATTAACTAAAACTATCTTACCATTTGTATTTATATATACACACAATTTATCAATAAGAGGTTGATCATACAAAAATACTGAGTCTAGTATACTTTTCTGCCTGGCTGACCATGAACCAAAACCTTCCAGCTTCCCAATTTCAGACTCCTGAATAACTAGAATTGCAGGTGTAAGTCACTGGTGCCTAGCTACAACTTAAGGTTTTCACTGAGCCATTTTGTTTAATATAGCAGGTATTTGACTTTCAAATACCCTAAGCTCTCAGGGAGCTAATGACTCATGCCTGTGATCCTAGCTACTCAAGAGGCTGAGATCTGAAGATAATTCAAAATCAGTTCAACCAGGAAAAATCCAGTGAACTCTTAGCACCAATTAAACATCAAAAATCCAGATGTGGAGGTTTGGCTCAAGTGGTAGAGGAAGATAGATAGATAGACAGACAGACAGATAGAGATCTATTAGCCTATTGGATTTAGATATAGATGTCATATATATGTTATTTATATATTCCAATATTTCTATTTGAAATCCCACATTTCTAAATCCAAAGCAAAGCTCACTGCTCCCAGTATGCAAATTGATTAACTCACTTCCGTTTCAAATTGTATGCTCATTGGTCACCTCTGTGATTGAGGGAGAGGAAGGACAGATATGAGAACTATTTGTTTTTATTGTATCCAAAAACTTGAATAAAACACAATTTACCATAGTAACCACTTTCATTGATCTTGAAATCAATTTCTAACCTTGTCAGAATTCTCTTCCTCTTTTGTCAGTGGTGGGGTTTGAACTCAGGTCCTGGCCACTGTCCTTGAGCTCTTTTGCTCAAGGCGAGAGCTCTACCACTTTGAGCCAGAGCACCACTTCCAGTTTTTGAGTACTTAATTGGAAATAAGAGTCTCACGGGTACTTTTCTGCCTGGGCCATCTTTGAAGCACAAATCCTCAGATCCCAGACTCCTGAGAAGTATGAGTGCCAGGCAAAATTCTCTTCCTCTTAAAAGCTGAATAAATTGGGTGCTGGTGGCTCACTCCTATAGCTCCCTAGCTATTCAGGAGGCTGAGATCTGATGCTCATGGTTCAAAGTCAGCCTGGGCAGGAAAGTCCGTGAAACTCATCTCCAATTAACCACCAGAAAACTGTAAGTGAGCAATGGCTCAAAGTGGTAGGTACTAGCACTAAGCAAACGAGCTCAGGGACAGCACCCAGGAACTGAATTCAGGCCCCACAACCTATAAAAAATAAAAAGCTAAATAATACTCCATTATATGAATAAGCCGTGCATTTTTATGCATTTGTTCCTCAGTGGAAGTTTGAATTTATATCTACCTTTTGTCTACTACAAATAGTGGTGTTACAGGCAGCAATAGTGTGCCATACACAGTTGTATCTTTGACACTCTCCTTTCGATTACTTTGCATACATACCGAGAAATGGCATTGCTGAATCACATGGTAGTTCTACTTTTAATCTTTTGAGGTTTACAACTGAACTTGAAACTCACAAAACAAAGGAACCATCAATGGTGAGAAGGCAAAACTACTGCAATCATTATGGAAGTCAGTATAAATATGTACACATTATATATATATACACCATGGACTAATAGTTAGAAAAAGTAATATCATGTTATTTGCATGCAGTAAAATAGATGGAACTGAGATCATCATGTTCATTAAGATAGCCAAACTCAAAAAGCCAAATATTGCATGCCCTCACTCATTTGTGGAGTATATTCCTAAAATGATGATGATAATGATAGTAGTAATGGTAGTGAGACATGAATATAAAAGGGAGACTATCTTGGAGGGGGTCAGTGGGAGGGAGGAAAATGAGGGATAACTGGGAGATAAAGAAGATCAGGGGATATTCCACACACATACACATGAATCGAGCATAATGAAATGCAAAATGTCATTTGAAAGAAGGTTACATGGGGAAGATGAGTAGGATACAGTAAAGGGAATAAATGTGTTTAAATACACTATGTGTTATATATAGAAATATCATAATGATACTCCCTCACATTACAAATGTACATTAACTCAACACACACACACACACACACACACACACACACACACACACACACACACACACACACACACACACACACGTCCTCCATACTAGGACCCCAGGCCTTGGCTCTAAGCACAGTGTACCTTCCACTGCAGCACATCATATGGCCTTCTATGTCAGCAAAATCAAAATCTGCCCTTGGACCAACTAAACACCCAGCACAAATACAACCAGACGCCACACTTGGAGCTACATGTGGGGCAGTCTGCAGTTACCACCTTACCTGTGATGTTGAAATTAACCATGTCCTCCTTCTGAAGTCTAACTGTGTCCCACAGAGGACTCTAAGAAACAGGAGAAAGTCAGGAGTACATACATCATGTTTACATGTGAACAACTCCCAAGTCCTTCAGTCACTCAGAAATCAAACCTCATTACCTCAGCATTGTGTATATAAAAAGTTACACTCTCACTTCCTAGGTTGAAATCGATCCAAAATTTTTCTAAGTTTTCATCTGCTGGCTTTCTCATCTATAAGGGAATTTTAACAAAAAGAAGATACAGGAAAAAAAATCACATCAGAGAGTCAAATAAAATTATCAATAAAAATGGAATTTGTACTTTCCTAGAATAACATATCCTAATAATACAGAGCCTCTTTTTACTACCTGACTCAGTTATGCAAAATACAGGGGGTAAGAATCTCAATTTTAAATGACCATTTCCAAGATCCCACTGTCCATAGTATGCACACACACACACACACACACACACTGGAGTTGTGTCAAGTTTAGTTCCAGAGGCTGTGAAGAGGGCTCTGAACCCAAAAAGAATCTCAGCTAAGCCAGGGCTTTAAATCTCTGAAGATTCTATCCTGAATTGGAGCTGTTGTAGGTTTTGCCCATGAATGGCAATATTCCTCTCTCAATAGAGAGATGAGAGATGTGTGTATGTGTGTGTGTGTGTATATCTGACAGAGAAAGAAAGAGAGAGAGAGATCAGAGACAGATGTGTATGTGTGTTATTTGTACTGTGGCTCGAATTCAGGCCTCATACTTGCTACACAGGTGTTCTAACACCTGAGCTACACCCCAGGTCATTTGTGCATTAGTTATTTTGGGGTAAGGTTTCATGATTTGCCTAGGATCAGGCTCATACTGAAATCCTCCTCACTATAGCCTCCCATATTCTTGGGTCCATAGACACATGCCATCATACCCAGATTATTGCTGCCCCGTGAGTATCTGGGATTATAGGCATAAACCATAGGATCCTATCATGCCCTTAAAATGTTTAATAGAGATTTAAATATTCCAGGTGACTCTAACCTTACATTTCTGGAGAAAATCACAGAGACAGGAGCTGTACATTAAAACAGTAATAATCCACAGTGCATATGGTGGGAACTTTCAGAAAAAGGAAATTATATGATCAAATATAAATGGTGATTGGGGTAGCTAATACTCAAAAGAGTTTAAATTACTTTCATGTTAATTTACTATTATAAGTACACACAGTAAAGCAGAAGGAAAAGAGAGGTCCAAACAGTGTGGGGTTAATTCTCATATGCTCCTTTCCATGAGCTAAATTAGCAAAGTCTTGTTTCTGGTTTTTTTGGTTTGGGTTTTTTTTGCTGGTCCTAGAGCTTGAACTCTGGGCCTGGACACTGCCCCTGAGTTTCTCTGGCTCAAGGCTAGTGCTCTACCACTTGAATCACACCACCACTTACAGCTTTTTCTAAGTAGTTTATTGGAGATAAGAGTCACATGGACTTTGCTACCCTAGCTGGCTGCTCAGGTCTCAGCCTCCTGAATAGCTAGATTACAGGCATGAGCCACTGACTGGCACCCAGATAGCCCCAGACAGCAAAACCTTGTTTCTTTTTTTTTTTTTTCTTTTTTGGGTCCCGTCATGGGGCCTGAACTCTGGGCCTGGGCGCTGTCCCTCAGCTCTTCAGCTCAAGGCTAGCGCTCTACCACTTGAGCCACAGCGCCACTTCCGGCTTTTTTCTTTTTGCTTATGTGGTGCTGAGGAATAGAACCCAGGGCCTCATGCATGCAAGGCAAACGCTCTACCACTGAGCCACCTTCCCAGCCCAACAAAGCTTTGTTTCTACCCAGAAGTTCTCTAAACAAGTATCAGGGAGGACAGATTGAACATCTCTTAGTAACAATGTGTATGTCAAGTTTCATATTCTAAATTTTGGAATACCTGCACTAGGAATCATCTTTGGGATGAGACCCGAGTCAAAGCATGCTTAGCTTCAGACACTCCTTATATCCATAGCTTAGAGGAGTGTTTTTGCACAATACTTGAAGTGCACTTGTGCTTGGCTGTGCTTCACATGAGACCAGCTGCAAGATTTTTCATGTGTCATCATGTTTACACTTAGTTTGGAATTCTGGAGCATTTCAGAATTTGGATTACACACACACATATGTGTGTGTATGTATATATATATGCATATATATACAACACACATACATGTGTATATATATATATATATGTATACACATGTTTTCATTCCTCTAAACGTGAGACTTACAGCTTGCCTTCCCTTGCCTATAAAAAGTATTGCTGAGACACCTTTCATCATATGTGCCTACTTAACAGCTACAGAGGTTGGATGAAGGCTACACTCACAATGCATGCCACTAGAAGTCAGCATGAGGGGTGAAGTTGATAGAAATTTGGGAGCCTACAATGTAAAAGAATTGAGTGTGGAATCCTTTCACCACCAAAGGAAAAGTATATAGACTTGAAATACAAGCATCAAAATCAGCTCTAGGCCTGGGAAGGTGGCTCAGTGGTAGAGTGCTTGAGCAGGAAAAACCGGAAGTGCTCTGTGGTTCAAGTGGTAGAGTACTAGCCTTGAGCTGAAGAGCTGAGGGACAGCGCCCAGGCCCAGAGTCCAGGCCCCATGACCGACAAAAAAAAAAGAAAAGAAAAGAAAGAAAGAAAAAGAAAAAAAATCAGCTCTAGAAACTTGGCCTGGCACAAATGCCTGTCACCGTCACTATGATGAGAAGCCAATAGGAGGATCACAGTTCCTGACATACGCCTGGGCAGGAATCAAGATTCTCTCTCTCAAAAATAACCAGTACAAAAAATAATCAGGGGACTAGAGGAATGAGTTATCAGCAGAAACCCTGGCTACAAATCACAAGGGCCTGAGTTCAAACCCAGACACAGATACAGACAGACACAGACACACATACAATCAGCTCTAGAGAGAAAGAACATATAATGTGATGGTAAGTTGAAACTTCAGCTCCAGAGGCTGTGAAGTGGGTACTGAATCCAAAGCAAGGAAATGGTTAAAGGGGGACATTTAGCAGCCAGGGGCCAGGCAACCTCAGCTGAGCCAAGGCTCTGAAACTTACGAACATCCCACCCTGAATCTGAGGTGTCATAGGTTTGGATTGTGCCCATCAAGGGCATTGGTTTCTCTAGAAATCAAAGAAGAGAGTAAAGTAAAACTGGCCCGCCTTGCACTATAAAATACAAGATAGAATGAAAGCAAGAACACATACTTTGTACCAGTGAAAGTACCCATACTCTACTATAAAGGTACTTTATATGTAAGGGCAGCTTTCCTGATAGTCGCTGTCCTATGAAATATAAGGTGGAGAGTACCCTGAGTTGCTGGGAAGGAAGAGGGGACATCAATTGAAAGGAGAGAGAAGCGAAGACGTCACCCTTTCCCTCCAATGCAGGCATGAATAATGCTACCTGTGAGTAAGTAGCATAAGCAAGCTTCCTGTACCTGAACTGTGCAGACTCTAATATTCCTTCTTCCGACACTGACATGAGAGCCCTTAAACCTACTGGCAATGAGGCCCGATTATAAGATCTCTCCATTTGCAAGTTGGGATCTTATAGGAGAAGTTGGAAGTTAGCATCTTCAGCTTTAAGAACTCCTTTGAGCAACAAGAGCTAAGTCTAACCTAACTATGTAATCTGTGGGTTTCTTTGTATACCACCCCCATGATGCCCCAAAGACAAACATACCTCATGCTCATCCGCAAAAGCAGCAATGCACGGGAATGAATAGACCCTGCAAAAACACCTCACAATTAAAGAATAAAACTAGGAGTGAACCCCATAGACAACCTACAGACCTTCTTGTGGCCAGAATCTATAATTGAGGGTATGCCAGTAAGTCTCCTTATTCAGAGTTGGGATGGGGGAGTTGACCCCTGGAAATGGGGAACAGCTCTGAGATATCAAATCTCCATCTGGTAGTCTATTGGCTAAGTTTACCAGCACTAAAAATTTCTCAGCCAAACTACTTGGCAAGATTTCTGAAGAAAAGAATGCATTTAACAAATATCATTTCATCAAGGACTTACCTGTCTTTTATATGTCTATCAACATTAACCTCAAGTGACATTGTTCTTCATAAAATCTATAGACCCACTGAAGGCTTCTAGAATTAAATTTTTACCATATCTTATATAAATATGCTCCAGATAATTTTTTTTTCAGTCATGGGACTTAGATTCAGGGCCTGGGCAGTGTCCCTGAGGTTTTCATGCAAGACAAGTAGTGTTCTACCACTTCAAGCCACAGTTCCACTCTGGTTTTCTGGTGGTTAATTGGAGATAAGAGTCTCCTGGGCTTTCTTGCCTGGGCTAGCTTCGAAATGTGATTCTCAGATCTCAGCTTCCTGAGTAGCTAGGATTACAGGTGTGAGTCACTGGTGCCTAGCTTCCAGATAATTTTAAAACACAATAGAACAAGTCACCAGGCAGAATGGTCTGATCTCTTGAGGTAGCTAATCAATGAACCCTTAGTGGTCTCTCATTATTGGTCTTCCCCAATGTGAAACACATCCTGGTTGTTCTAAAATATTGCACATTTTTAGTATACAGATAGTCAACAAAATAATGTCCAGAGAGACATCTTACCTTCTTTGGTCACCAAGTTTGTTGTTTAAGTGATTCAGAAACTGTCGAACATCCTTCAAGGTAAATATGCAAACGATTTTTATTTGAAAAATTAAGATGTGTTAATAGTACTCTAACTACCACATGCAGTCCAGTACTTACTTCTAAATGTCCAGGATCCAATAAGGGTTTTCTTTTTTTTTATTGTGAAAATACTGTACAGAGGGGTTACAATTACATGGGCAAGATAATGAGTATATTTCTTTTTTTTTTAATTTTATTTTATTTTATTTTATGAGTATATTTCTTATCAAACATTGTAGCCTCCTCCTTTGTTTCCCCTTCTCATCCCTTCCCATCCTCTCCCCACCATCCCTCCCCCAAAGTTGCAAACCGATTTCGACATAATGACTTGTACATCTCATTGTTGCAATGGATCCACCTGTATCTCTATTTAAACGATTTGTTTTTCCCCTTCCCCTCCACAAATTATACCGACATCAAATACAGTGAAAACAGGGGTTATATTGTGGGGGGAGGGACATACAAAGCAACAAAGAAATAAGATCCAATAAGGGTTTTCAAAGATTATGTTGAAAATACTTTGCAAACTGAGTATGGGGGTACATGCAGATAATCCCAGCACTTGGGAAGTTGAAGTAGGAGAATTGTGAGAGAGCAGCCTAGGATATACAGAAAGGAAAGAGAAAAGAAAGGGAAAAAGAAAGAAAGAAAGAAAGAAAGAAAGAAAGAAAGAAAGAAAGAAAGAAAGAAAGAAAGAAAGAAAGAAAGAAAGAAAGAAAGAAAGAAAGAAAGGAAGGAAGGAAGGAAGGAAGGAAGGAAGGAAAAGAGAGAGGGAGGGAGGGAGGGAGGGAGGGAGGGAGGGAGGGAGGGAAGGAAGGAAAAGAGAGAAAGAAAGAGAGGGAGGGAGGGAGGGGAGGAAGGAAGGAAGGGAAAGAGAGAGAAAGAGAGGGAGAGAGGGAGGGAGGGAGGGAGGGAGGGAAGAAAGGAAGGAAGGAAGGAAGGAAGGAAGAGGGGGAAGGGAGAAAACAACTTTGTTGTGCAAAGAGAAGGCTCAACCCCAATATCTCCTAACACCTGCCTAGCACTAGCCACAACCTTTCAATGCATCAACTTGGGGTTTTTCTGGGTGTATTTTCCATTGCCATGTTGGCTTTCTAGGAGTTCCAAGCCATACTTTCCTGATTTATTCTTCTGTCGTATGGTCTAAGAGCAAAGACTGTATTTAGCATTCTCCCAGCAGGGAATTTGTTGTCCCAACATGGTAAAGGCACACCGCAGGTCCAGTTGTTTGGTTTTATTTGCCAGGACTGGCTACTGTGGCCAAATTCTCATCACGCCTAATCTCACCTCAGCAAGAAGTAGGCCTTAGCAGTTTAAGTCTTTCTTTAAAAGCAATTCATTAGGAAGCTAATGGCTCAGGAGGGGAAATGATTTTAAAAAACACACCAATTGTTTTTTCTCAGATTTTCTGTTTGCCTGCTGCTGGAGTGAAATGGAGAGAGAGGACCCAGTGTCTAGATACCCACAGGACCTCAGGCCCTCTGCTTTTCTCAGTGAATTCACACTTGGGAGCTGGCATTTGTGTCCATCTTGCAGTTGAACATGTGGGCTTTGTCAGTCCACTACCTTGCCAAAATACAAACATCACATGCATCAGAGTCAACCCCAAGTCAGAGAGAGCCACAAAATTCATGATCTTTCCATCGAAGCTATCTTGAATCCAGGCTAAACATGCAGCCTCTATATGGCGGTAGCCCAGAATCTGAGATGAATATAAAAATTTAATAAAATCAGAAACCTGGGACCAATGTTTCATTCCTGTAATCCTAGCTATTCAGGTAGCTTTTCAAGATAGAAAAGTTTGTGAGACTCCATCACAAAAAAGAAAGAAACAAAGAAAAGGTGAAAAGAAAAACAAGCTGGGCACTAGTGGATCACACCTGTAATTTTAGCTACCTAAGAGGCTGAGATCCGAGGATAGGGTTCTAAGCCAGCCCCAACAAGAAAATCTGTGAGACTTTTATCTCCAATTAACCACCAAAAAAGCCTGAAGTAGAGCTGTGGCTCAAATGGTAGAGTACTAGCCTTGAGCACAAAAGCTCAGGACAGAACCCAGGCCCTGAGTTCAGGCCCTGAGTTCAAGTCAGGAACACTGGCATGCAGGCACACATATATGTATGTGCCTGTGCATGTGTGTGCATGTGTGTACACACGTACATGTACACACATGCACACACATACAACAGAGACAAAATAACCAGTAAAGAGAAGAGCTGAGGAGTGGTTCAAGTAGTACAGCATCAGCTGAAAAAACATGAGGTCTCAGTTCAAATGGCAATTATTTTTTAATTCTGGTACTGAGGCTTAAACTCAGGGTCTGGGTACTATCCACTAGCTTTTCCACAAAAAGATAGCACTATGACACTTGTGTCACAACTCTACTTCTGGCTTTTTTGCTACTTAATTGGAGATATGAGTATCATAGACTTTCCTGCCTAGGTTAGCTTTGAACTGTGATCTTAGATCTCAGCTTCCTGAGTAGCTAAAATTACAGATATGAGTCACTGGCTCCTGACCGTCCCCCTACCAAAAAAAAAAATTGGAAGTGGTGTTGTGGCTCAAAATGGTAGAGCACTAGCCTTCAGCACAAAATCTCAGGGACAGTGCCCAGGCTTTGAGTTCAAGTTCCATAACCAACCAAAAAAATTATAAATAAAAGTTATAATAAAATCAGAATCATGTAATACCCAAATTGTACAGTTTCATTAATATGAGCACTCCTGTTATTAATTATACCTTTTCCTAAGGGCCTAACCTTTATTTAAAGAATTTTTTAAGGTCTAGTGATGTACCTCAATGGAAGAGTGCTGCCTGACATGCATAACACCCTGGGTTTGATCCTCAGCATCACAAGAAAGGAACATTTCAGAAGAGGTAAAACGTGTTAACCAAGCATGAAGCTACTTCTGTGCTACTTAAAGAAGCAATCATAATAAGCTCAGTCACAAGAAGATACTAGGAATTGTTCCTCCCACTGTGGAGGCTGAAAGGCTAACATCACCACCACTCCATAATGCTCTCTGCCACTAGAACATGGCAGGCTGTGTCTACCATCATCAAGGCTGTACTTGGCAAGGCTACAGTACACCTTCTTTTCTCCTCTAACCTCCTCCTGCCTCTTTAAGGGAGGAAAGTTGCTACCTGTACATCTTCTCCTGGATCTATGAAACCCACAGAAGTCTATCTCCAGGCTCAGTTACCTCTAAGAAGTTCTATCTAGTTCCCCTAGGAGGGTCCCCAAGTTTGTTGCCCTCAAAGTTCCTGGAAATTTAAGAATACCAACTTCATCCTACTGAGGAAAAGATCATCTTCCCCTAAGGCTGACACCCAGCAGAGCAGAGGATGCTTACAAACAAAGCTCAGGAAAACTCTCACCGTCTCAAATTCCTGGCCCTTAATTTCTTTGAAAGCTTCAGCCAGGACCTCATCCTCAAACCACTGGTGAACAAGATCATCCCTTGATGCTTTGGTGGTCATTCTATACAATGCCTCAGTAAGAGACACCTGCTGGTTGTAATCTAGAGATTGAAAACACAATAAAGCCACCACATACATCATCCTGGACACAAAGAAACAGGGAATGGGAATTTCCAAATCAGCCCCTGCTCCAAGAGAGCCCAATTTAGTTGCAGCTCTATGGTATTTCCAGTACTATATCTGCAACTGTTTTGGTCATTTAATTATATTTAAGATTAGATAGAAATTATATTTAAATAACTTCTTCACTGTATGTATATGTGTAAGTGTGTAAGTGTGTATGTGTATGTGTGTATGTGTGTGTATGTGTGGATATGTGCACATGTAGGCCAGTTCTAGGGCTTGAACACAGGGTCTGGTGCTATCTGAGCTTTTTTTGCTCAAGGCTAGTGATCTACCTCTTGTAGAAAAGCTCCATTTCCAGCTTTTTGGTGGTTAATTGGAGCTAAAAGTCAAACAAGCTTTCCTGCCCCAGATGGCTTCGAACCAGGATCCTCAATTCTCAGCCTTCTAGGTAACTAATATTACAAGCTGCAACTTGTTCTCTTAATTAAGAGAAACAATATGTTGGTACAAATACTTTTGACAATATATTCCTTGGCTTCACATTTTAAGTACATTAAACAAATAAATCATGTAACAAATATTTCTACCACAAAACATAACATCCCAAGATTAACTGTGATATTTTATATAGCTGAGAGACCAAAACCACATAGATTAATATGTTCAAATCTTGAATGATTCTCAGAATAAAAAGGGAACTATAGGTTAACTATGTTCAAGAGGATGGCTTTTATGTAATGTTCTTGAAATTTACAGAACAGTAAGGGTGCTTATGAGTAACAGAGAAGAGTAAGTATGACAATGAGAAAACAAATATAAGTAACAGAGAGGGGAGTGAAATTGGGGTACGGATGCAGGAGACTTTATTTGTGACTCTTGCTTATTTTTTTCTAAAAAAGTATTAGAAGCCAGGCACCAGTGGCTCCTCTTAGCTACTCAGAGGCTGAGATCTGAAGAAAAACAATCAAGGTTCAAATCAGGCTCATGGAAGAAAAGCTGTGAGACACTTGTTTCCAATTTACCATTAAAAAGCTGTAAGTGGAGCCGTGGCTCGAGTGGCAGACTGCTAGCCTTGAGAGAAAAACAATTATTTGGAACAAGTATTACAAATACTAAAATTTAGTGGATCTGGAAGGCGAATGAATGGTCACTATTGCCCAAGGTGTTCAGCATCCAAATGTCTTTCTAAATAAGTTTAAAATAAGAATTGGGAAAGATGGAGGAGGAGGATGGAAGGGGTGACATCTATCAAGATGCGTTGTACACATAATCTGGTCTGCATAACTGAAACCCCCTTGTACAACTTCTTAAAATTTAACTAAAATTTTAATACCTATCTTAACAATTTATCCCCCAAAGTTTCAAGAATATCCAGTATTGGATAGCCCAAGTATTTAAAACTCTAAATATGTCTTACCACCCACAGTCAGGATTGTCCTTGCAAAGTCCATCCTGAAACATTTAGATAAATTATATTTTACCAAAATGAACAGTTACGAGGTGAAACTTGATTAGATCATATTAAATTTTCAAGCAAAGTTTTATTTTTTAATTATTTCAGATGAAACATCAGAATTTCTACAGTGTGAAAATGGTACCTTTGTATAGAAAAATCTTCTCCAGCTTCTATATTTGTGATCCCTACGGTTGTTTTTGTTTTGGTGCCTGTCCTGGGCTTGAACTTAGGATCTGGGCACTGTCCTTGAGCTTTGGTGCTCAATGCTAGTACTCTACCATTTGAGTCACAGCTCTGTTCCCAGCCTTTTGGTGGTTAATTGGAGATAAGAACTTCATGGACTTTCCTATCCAGGCTGGCTTTGAACTGCAATCCCCAGATCTCAGCTTGAGCAACCAAGATTACAGGCATGATCCACTAGTACCCAGTTCTCTATGAGTTTTAAGAAGTTTGGACTGCTATACATTTTGAGCCTCCATTTCCCCTTCACAGGGGAAATTTAAGCGTGAAGACCTCTAAGGATTCCTCTAATGCTGCAGTTCTGGAGTTTTATAACTCTGTGACCTCACCAGCCTCTGGGGGCATGTGTCCTTTAACATAGCTTGACACTGACAGAAAGACATAGCTGATCCTGTTCTCTCCTATGATGTGTTTTATCTCATTTTAAAAACTGGTCAGTTCAAGCCAGGCACCCGTGGCTCACACCTATAATCCTTGCTACTCAAAAGGCTGAGATCTGGGGATCATGGTTCAAAGTCAGTCCACGCAGGAAGGTCTATGTGACTCTTACCTCCAACTGGCTTTTTAGCTGTGACTCAAGTGGTAGAGCACCAGCCCTGAGTGGAAAAAGGGACAGCACTCAGGCCTGGAGTTCGAGCCCCAGGTTTGACACAAAAATAAATAAGAATTGATCAGAGTTGTAGCGGGATCACAACATCACATTAGACCTTCACTTTAGAATTTCCCATAGTGTATATTAATTTCAGAATTTCAACCTAAGTGTGAGGTTGATCTTTTTCTTAAGGTCTGAAAAAAATCCCTTCTGTTTTGTTTTGTTTTGTGTTTTCCAGTACTGGGGGCTGACGCAGGACCTTGCTGAGATCAGCAAGGGCTCCACACTAGACTTCCCCCTAGCCACTGAATTGTTGTGACAGGATCTCACACTGATCTTGAACTATCTTCCTGCCTTGGCCTGCTGTGTGCTGGGATTACAGGAGCCTCTCATCATCCCTAGCAAATCTCCCATTTTAAAGACTTTATTTGTTAAGAAACCTTGTGGTAATTGTTTCTCATAATAAATGGATTGATTTGTTAGTATTAAAGAAAAACCAAATAATGGCACCACTGGGAATTCTGTTGAATTTTGTGTTAACCAATTTTACCTCTCATGTCCAGAATATTCCAAACATTCTAGACACAAAGTAGTCTGATCCCAAGATTCTATTGAAAGCTTGAAGGAAACATCAGGTCAGGTGCTCTCTAAATCTAAATAGACCACCAGCTACAGTGATTTCGTTAATGTATTCAATAATATTTTAGGATAAATTCAAATGCATAAACGGTACCCTAGAAGACTGGTGAATAAGCAGTCATGATGACTATGAGCACCAGGCTCATAGTTACCTCCTGTAGGCCTAGCCCCTACACTATAGTTTGCTCTCTGATCATGGCCTCCATGCTGGTTCGGGGGCCACAGAGTCACATGTCTAGGTCCAACGTTCACAAAAGGATGCTGCTTTTCCTCTTGCCTTAAAACCATACCTTAAAATTCTACAGCTTGAAAACTACATCACTGCAATGGGATCACCAACATTCCTCCCCCAAAGAACGAACTCCATCACCTGAAAAGCAGGGCAAAACCTATGCCTCGTTGGTTTAGCTAACAGCACTCGCTGTGGTCTTTGCCTGGCTGAACCTGAATCACTCTACCACACAGGCAATAGTAGTTTACCCCATGTTCAGGGCAAACAGACTGAGGGACGGGCTGGAGTGGAAGCGGAAGACCAGGATTTGAACTTGCAGCCTCCCTCTAGCTCCTGCTCTCTAGTTTCTCATCATTCTCTCCTGAATCACTGCTGTAGTTTACACCCACAATAAAAAAAAGTTACAAATATAATTTACAAAAAAAAAAAAAAGAACTGGGCTGGGAAGGTGGCTCAGTGGTAGAGCGCTTGCCTTGCATGCCTGAGGCCCTGGGTTTGATTCCTCAGCACCACATAAGCAGAAAAAAAAAAAGCTGGAAGTGATGCTGTGGCTCAAGTGGTAGAGCGCTAGCCTTGAGCTGAAGAGCTGAGGGACAGCGCCCAGGCCCAGAGTTCAGGCCCACGACTGGACCCCCCCCCAAAAAAAAGAAGCTACTGCCTGAAAAGGACACACATTTGATGCTAAAGACAATTTTTAAGCATATTAATATTTTTAAGCATATTAATATTGGTGAACACTAGTGTTTCGTGCCTGCTATTTCAGCTATCCAGGAGACTGAGATCTGAAGATTATGGTTTGAAGTCAGCCCAGATAGAAAAGTCTGTGAGCCTCATCCTCAATTCACTGCCAAAAATACCATAAAGCTGGAGTGCCCAACTTAAGAAGAAAAAAAAAACTGAGACATAGAGCCCAGGCTCTGAGTTAAAGCCCCAGTACTGGCACAATAAATAAGAAAATAAATAAAACTCCTAATATAAAAAGAACCTAAGAAGGCCAGGAACTGATGGCTCACTCCTGTAATCCTAGCTACTCATGATCTGAGGACCATGGTTCAAAGCCAGCCCAGGTAGGAAGGGCAGTGAGACTCTTTATCTCCAATTAGCCACCAGAAAACTGGAAGTGGTATTGTGGCTCATAGTGGTAGAGTATTAGCCTTGAGCAAAAGAGCTCAGGAATACTGCCAAGGCCCTGAGTTCAAGCCCCATGACCACCAACAACAACAATGAGCCTAAGAAAGTCTACCTTTTTCTCTCCAATCTGGCTGCCTAGCCCCGAGTCTAGTATCTAGTAGAGATGAAGTCTGTGGAAGACAAAGAGGAGAGATTTTTTGCCCTTGCAACTTCTCATAATGAAGTGCAAAGCTACTTACATAAGACAGCACGCGCCTTCTGACAAAGACAGCTTTTTTCTCTCTTCCCGGGGTGTAGCATCCAATATGCAGTTCAGAGTCCCCAGAGCCTTGGGGTAAATGAGGAAGATACAAAACAGAGACAAATACACAACCTTCTCTGAGGTTTGGGGGGGCATCAACTGAACCCCTGTGTGTTATTTTGAACTCACCTGCTGCTGAATCAAATGACTCACGGTCTTTTCTGCCACCAAGAATCCTAAGCCACTTATGAAGAAATCCAACATCTGAGCTTTCCCTGGAAGCATAATAGTATCTGTCAAAGGTATGCCCCAAAGAACAAGTGGATAACTTCTGCAGAGCAGGAAGAGGGGCGGGGGTGGGAGGGGGAGGGGGGAGATTTAGGATTGATCAGTTCTACACAAGGGACGTGGTAAAGCTTGGTCTGCTTCCAGCTACAATTAAAATCATAGTCATTGAAAAAAAAGGCATCCACACACACAGTACATACTTAAACTTGTGGTCCTGAATTTCTTCAACTACCACCCAGGGCAGAATGTATAATTGCTTACTTTTAAGAAAATAGAGACCATTGGAAAAATAAGTGCCATAAGAAAGCACAGATCTGCATTAAGATGGCCCTCATTTCTGAAATATTCCAATATGTAAAGTACTTTGAATCCACAGTACCATAATTCACAATCTCAAATTACCTTTAACTTGAATTAAACAAAAAAAATTAAAACCTAACTCGAAAGTTTTCTAAAATGCTACCATAATTTATACCCTTGAGAGACAGAAAGTCATCTGAATCACTAATAGCTAAGTTAGTCAATTTTCTATTGCTCAAACAAAATACCTGAGGCTAAGTCCTTTTAGAAGGAGAAAGATTTATTTAGCTCCCAGCACTAGAGGCTCAAGAGCAGAGTGAAATCCTCTGCTGAGCTCCCTGAGGACTTCTGGTACGTGGAATCACAGGGGTAGGAGCATGTGTAAGGAAGAGAAGGCAAGAGATCAAGGTGAGACCACCCAACAGCCTTTGTAACCTAGTCCAGTCATACGAGACCCTATCCTCCCATGGTCTGTGCTACAGTGATTGAACCGCCTTGCACTGGGTCCCACTCTGTAAAGAAATACTGCCACAGGGGAGACAACTTGTAATGCATTCATCCTTAGGGAACAAACCCACACCTGGTCACAGGGTCAACTTTAGCTGGTTCAAAATGGCAAAACATTGTCTTCCCATTGAGTGGCTAATTAAAATATGTCTCAGACAAACCCAAGAACTCCTTACTACAAACACATTTCAACATTACAACATGACTAACATCATGTAGTCAGCAAATCCAAACATGAGCCAGGCACTGGGTGACTCACACCTGTAATCCTACTCAGGAGACTGAGATCTGAGGATCACAGTTCAAAGCCAGCCCCAGCAGGAAAGTCCATGAGACTCTTTTTCCAATGAACCACCAGAAAACCAGAAGTGGTGCTATGGCTCAAAGTGGAAGAGCTCTAGTCTTGAGTGAAAAAGCTTAGGGACAGTGCCCAGGCCCTGATTTCAGGCCCCACAACCAACAAAACAAAAAACAAAAAGAAAACCCAAACATGATCCTCAAACCCACTTTCCCCTAAGTATCATTTAATGATTCTAATCTCTGTACCAAAATATTCTTTAAAAAACATAGTTATAGCAATATTTAATATTAACAAAGAAACCTCATGCAAATCATTTGTCCCATGATGATGTGTAGAACTGATTATTAATTGGTTTCTCAAAGGCATAAATATATTTGTTTATTCATCTGGTCAAGAAAACCTAATTTTCAGTGTGGTGTGGTGTCTCAGCCTGCAATCCTTGCTACTTGAAAGATGGAGATCAGTGGATGTGGTTCAAAGTCAGCCCAAGAGAAAGTGTGTGCCATCTCCAACAATGGCTGGATGTGGTGGCATGCACCTGTCATCCAAGCAACACAGGAACAAACAAATAGGACAGAGTCCCAGCATAAAAGTGAGACCCTATTTTAAAAAAATACACAGAGCTGGTAGAATGGCTCCCATAAGAGAGCTACCAACACCAATATTGGGGGGAAGGAGGGAAGGAAGGAAGGAAGGGAGTGAGGGAGGAAGGGAGGAAAGAATGAAGGAAGGGAGGGAGGAAGGAAGGAAGGAAGGAAGGAAGGAAGGAAGGAAGGAAGGAAGGAAGGAAGGAAGGAAGGAAGGAAGGAAGGAAGGAAGGAAGGGAGGGAGGGAGGGAGGGAGGGAGGGAGGGAGGGAGGGAGGGAGGGAGAAAGGGAGGGAGAAAGGGAGGGAGAAAGGGAGGGAGAAAGGGAGGGAGAAAGAGAGGGAGGGAGGGAGGGACGGAGGGAGGAACGGAGGGACGGAGGGAGGGAGGGACGGAGGGACGGAGGGACGGAAGGATGGAGGACTGGTTTTCACACTGATGATGTGGTGAACTGGCCTCCACATCAGTGCCTATCAGTTATGAAGCTGATGGCCGGAAAATAGACATTTGTCCATGGAAACACATTGAGGTGGTCTAGAGTCCAATCTCTTAGTGGTGCTGTTTCTCTTTTTTAATGGAGAAAAATACTTGTATATGAGTTCTTCTTTTAAAAAAATCAAATGATAAAGAAAAGCCGCAATCTCCCTGGACCACCATGCCAACCCAAGCACCTTCCCTGGAGCCTCCACTCCATTTCTGATATCTCTAACAAGTTTTCAAGTCCGCTAAGCAAGTTGCCAAAGACTGTACCTTGAGTGGTACTGCTGTAATGAACATTAGTGCACACATTTATACAGTATTTATATGTTATATATAATTGTGAATATTATTGATGAGAGGAGCAGTTGCTACCTCTGCCAGCTGCAAAGAACTTTCTGGGTCACAGCACATGTCCATTTTTAGTTCATAGATGCTTGGAAATGATCTTCTAAAATAGCTATACTATTCCCCTGTCCCAGCAGTGCACAAAATGTGAGAGGACTTGTTCCCCAATATATATGGTGAGAATAACCTCTTGATTTTCCCTGATTACTAATGGGGGGGGCTATTATCATTTTATACAAGCCATTTGAATCTCCCCTTTTATAAACTGCATGTAAAAAGAAAATCAAAAGCCAATTAGTACCAACTAATATACTTACCTTCATTACTACTACTCTGGCAAATAATCTAATAAAAAGAAAGAAAAAGTACAGCTTATATTATTTTAAAATAGTATTATGCATTATAACATTATTGCATGAGTGCTAGTATTTTCTTAGTTGAACTTGACTTGAGGTACAGAAGAAAAGAATCTTAGAAAAAGCCTACTGAGGGGCTGGGAAGGTGGCTCAGAGCGCTTGCCTTGCATGCTTGAGGCCCTGGGTTCGATTCCTCAGCACCACATAAGCAAAAAGAAAAAAGCCGGAAGTGGCGATGTGGCTCAAGTGGTAGAGTGCTAGCCTTGAGCTGAAGAGCTGAGGGACAGTGCCCAGGCCCAGAGTTCAGGCCCCACGACCAGCCCCCCCCCCCCCAAAAAAAGAAAAAGCCTACTGACTTCATTAAAACTAGGTGTGTAATATATTTACATTAATAAAATGAAAATTAAAAAGAATTAGCAACTTCTATTTTTTTTTGTTTTGGTTTTCTGGTTTTGGTTTTGGTTTTGCTTGTTGGTGCTGATCCTAGGGCTTGAACTCAGGACCTGGGCACTGTCCTTGAGTTTTTTGTTTTGTTTTGCTCAAGATTAGTGCTCTACCACTCGAACTGCAGCAATACTTCTGACTTTTTGGTGGTTAACAAGAGATAAGTCAAATGGACTTTCCTCTCTGGGCTGGTTTTGAGCCACAATCCTTAGATCTCAGCTTCTTGAATAGCTAGGATTCCAGGTATGAACCGCCAGTGTCCAGCTGATCTTTCTGCTTTCTATACCATTGGTTATATTTATCTATATTGATCTAGATAGACATATACACATATACACATCATATAAATATGTAATCATTGGTTTTATATCTATATATACATATATATACATAGGCATATACAGTCATATGCATATTAATATGTATATATAGTTATATATGTTTATATAGGGTTTTATATACAATACATATAATATCCATTACTATCTCATATAATATTCTAATCCTAAAACACAGGAACACTAACAAAATTCACATGTTATAAAAAGGCAGGTCTTACCAGTCACTCGAAGATGCCTATCCCCTTGGTCACCTGCCCCTGTGGCTGCCACGCCCTTACCAGCAGGCTGTCCAAGAAGTCCTCTGTGACACTCATCAGTGACATGCTTGAAGCAAGGTCTTCCATGGTCAGAAATCCTGTGATTCTTTGAAGCCAGGAGGCCATGTATACAGAAGAGATACCAATGGAACCTCATGCCACTGAGTTCTTCTACCAGCTCAACAATCTTCATGGAACACTTTTCTCACTAGAATAAAGTCACCCCCAAAGACCCTTTCCCATAACTGCTATAACACTCTGGTTAGGTCTGTCTCTGAGGTTGCCCATGTAGAACATTTCAAAAGAGAGTCAAACAGACAGAATTATAGAAGTTCTAAAATAAATAAGTAAATAAATAAAACCATCACCAAAAAAAGAATTATAGGAGTTCTCAGATATCAGTGAAAATGGGAGATATAGCTAGGAGCAACTCCAGAAAGCTACACTGAGGGGCAGGTGAGGAAATCTAAACCTCCCATCACAGGACAAAGTCTTGCAGGTCTGAGAAGCTGAGGTAAACAAAATATTATAAGAAAAGAATGAAGTGGGCACTGGTAGCTCACACCTGTAATCCTAGATACTCAAGAGGCTCAGATCTGAGCATTGTGGTTCAAAGCCAGCCCAAGCAGGAAAGTCTGTGAGACTCTTATTTCCAATTAACCACCAAAAACTGGGACTAGAGTGGTGGTTCAAGGGGTGGAGCGATTGCCTTGAATGTAAAGGTAAGGAGCATGTTCAGTTCCTGAGTTCAAGGCCCAAGACTGACACAAAAAAGAGGAACAAGTTGTACAGTGTTCCAGAAGTATCATGGTTGCAGTAAATATGCCTCCAGACTGGCTACATTTCTTTTCCCAAAAGCTCCCAGCTGAGAGATTTTTTTCTATACGAATATATATTTGTGCACACTCATATTAAATTCATAAGATTGGTGTGATTCTAAAGAAATTTCTGTAACAACTCCTTAAAACATATTTGCCCAATAAAACAATGACTATCTTTGTATCAATTTTCCTGGGACTGGTTTAAAAAAAAAAGCCAGGTATAGTAGCTTATATGTGTAATCCCAGCTGCTCAGATGTCAAGATCAGTTCAAGGCCAACCTGAGCAAAAAGTTTGAGAGACTCCATCTCAACCAATAAAACTGAGTGTGGTAGCCTGCCATTCCAGCTATTGGGGAGACATAAATAGAAGGATCATGATACAGGTCAGCCTGGACATAAACATTAGACCCTGTCTGAAAAATAATCTAAAGCAAAAGGAAAAATTCTGAACTAGGCATGAAAATAGATGCCTATAATCCCAGCTATTTAGAAAAGTTGGCACAGTTCAAGGGGTAGAGCACTTGCCTAGCAAGCATAAGGTCTAGGTTCAATCCTCAGTACAAAGGAATGTAGGGAGGGAGGAGAGGACACACAGAAGAAACAAAGACAGAGAGAGACATACACACAAAGATCCTGTTTGCATAGAAATCATCAGCTGAACAAGAAGTTAGTAACACAAGCCTCTGGTGAGCAACTCTTGCTAGACCTTCAATGCATTGTGCATATTGAAGAGGGGGACCCAAGACCCCCTGCTGAAGATGACAAAGTACCCAGTCCTCAATACTGACTGGGAAAACCTGAAAGACCTGGCATCCATCTCAGTCCCAGAAGTTACAGCTCCTAGTGGCCAGACCCTGGGCAGTGTTTGCTAAGACTCTCCAGGTGACTGTAAATTCACTCAAATCAAAGACAGGCCATTACTACATAAGGCTTGTCAGATGTGGTGAGTTTATTTCTGGTCAGACCTTCTTGCTCCCCAAGGGCTCTGCCCACACAAACACAGGAGACTCAGCAAGATTCATTTCCAATTGGACAGAGGCACCAAGAATGGATGCTAATTTTCAAGTTTGATTTCAAAGAAACAGGAAGTCGTAAAGTGAATATACACTCATTTGGGGGAGGGGAGTTGTCTTATTTCTCACAATGCAGCGTAGGCCCTCCCCCATGCTAAGCAGGTATTCTTTCACTGAATTACACCCCCCCAAAAAAACTCTCACATTAGTTCTCTAAGCCACCCAGAGCCACATAAAATTAAATGGTGGCACTTATCTTCAGGATCAGTCCCTGCTGAATTAGCAAACACTGGTCTTCACTGAGGTCATCTCTGAAGAATCTCTGAAGACACTTTAGCAACAGCGAAACATGAAGAAATTCATTTCTGTCCAGTTCCTAAGTATTAGAGTACACAAAATCAAACCCCTTACCAATAGTTATGCGTTGGTATTTTGAGTACCCCCAAACAACATACTTGCCTTATTTAGTGATCTGTCGAGATGATTTAAGAGGAGATGATTATATTTTTGAGGAAATTGATCCTCTTTCTGAAGATAGTCTTTTATTTTCTGAAATCCTTTACCATGGAACGCATCAGTAATAAGGGACTGAAGCTGGAAAAGTGATCATGTTTGTGAATTACTTTTGCCCCAAAGCAATTGTTTTCTAGGACAATCTCTTAATATCATTACTGATGATAATTCAGTGTGAAATTGGAAAGTACACCCCCAGAGAGCTGTGTCTTGAAGCCTCAACCATCACTTAACCAATGAGTCATGTTTCCATTGGATCAGGATCAGGACAAGGGTTCTCAGACTGTGGCTCCTGGATCACTGGTAAAACTGACAACACCTGAGGAGACCCATTAGAGCTCCAAGACTCCCAGGGGAACCCGTAAGGTCATTCCAAAGGCTGGGAACATCTGAGAAACAACCAATTCAAGGAAATCTACTCTTCAAATATAGATGACCATAGATAAAGATGAGCAGTAATATTGTACATTCTGACAGGAAAAAAAAAAAAAACCCAAGCCTCTATCTAGCCAGATTCTGGTGGTTCATACCCATAATCCTAGCTAATAGAGAAGCTGAAATCTGAGGATCATCTTTCAAAACCAGTCCAGACAGGAAAGTTCATGAGACTTTTACCTCCAATTAATGCCCCCCAAAAAGCCAGAAGTAGAACTGGAGCATTGAGGAAAAGTGTTCAGGTACAGCGTCTGGGCTTTGAGCTCAAGCCCCACCCACCCCCCAAAAGAGGAATCCAGACCTCCAATTCCCTCATTTTGTTGCTTGCATATAAGTTCAGAAACACTGCTGGCCAGATTGTGTTTCCTTCAATATCTATACTATAAAAGACGTTATCACCAGGTACTGGTGACTCACACTGGTAATCCTAGCTACTCAGGAAGCTGAGATTTGAGGATTGAGGTTCAAAGCCAGCCGGGGCAGAAAGGGCAAAAAGTCCATGAGACACTTATCTTCAATTAACCACCAGAAAGCTGAAAGTGGCGCTGTGGCTCAAGAGCACTAGCCTTGAGCTGAAGAGCTCAGGGACAGTGCCCAGGCCCAGAGTTCAAGCCCACAACCGACCAAAAAAAAAAGAAAAGCCGTTATCCTTTTTTTAGAAAAATCCAGTGCAATGATGACAGACTACGTTACAATATACAGTATCTTTCAATTAGGCATTTTACTGTACACAGTTCCATTTCTTCTTAGCATTGACTTAAACAAGGAAGCAGTATCTGAGGTCACACCACTTAAATGAGTATTTTCCTTTGAAAGGACCCACAGAGTGAAGCGTTTTATGGTTAAGTGTCTGCTGAAAGTTCCCATTCAGTCCTTTCCACCAAGCTGGGAAGTGACACCCTGTGTCTGGAGGTAGAAGCAAGGAGGAGGAAGGTCAGGAACTTCCAGAGACCACCCAGATAGAGTCACACTCAGATTCTCTAACTCAAAAGCCCATGATTGGGCTGGGAATGTGGCTTGGTGGTACAGTGCTTGCCTAGCATGCATGAAGCCCTGGGTTCGATTCCTCAGTACCACATAAACAACAACAAAAAGCCCTAAGTGGTGCTGTGGCTCAAGTGGTAGAGTGCTAGCCTTGAGCAAAAGAAGCTCAGGGACAGAGCCCAGGCCCTAAGTTCAAACCACAGGACTGGCAAAAAAAAAAAAAGCCTCTGATTCTGCCTGCTGACACCTCTTCTGCGGGACTCAAAACAAGCCCAAACCCTTCTCTGCAGGGGGCTCTGTGTGATTTGATCTCCATCAACTTATTCAGTCTGACTTTCCTACCACGGGTCCTAGAATAAGTCGAAGTGTTCCCTGCTGCATGACCTTTGCACTGGCAGTTTGGCTAGACAAGTGTTCCCTACCACCTTTCACATGGTGGTAGGGTGCTAGCCTTGAGCTGAAGAGCTCAGAACAGCACCAAGATCCAGAGTTCAGGCCCCATGACCGACAAAAATTAAAAACATAAATAAAAATTTAGACTCCAATATTGAAGGTCAATCTGGGTGTGCACAGTTATAAACTGAGGATGAAAAAGAGGAAACAGCAAAGGCTTCTCTGCTTCTGGGGTGAGACCTGGAGGAATGATGGTGTAGATGAGTCACCAAGACTGCAGAGCTAGCAAGAACATGTACAGAATAGAAGCTGAACTCCTTCCTTACCCAGAAAGCATCTTGGGCCTTCCCAGTCCCCTCATCTTCCTCAACAGACAGCAAAGGACTTCTGTTCTCCTGTGTGCAATAAAAATGTGCCTTAAAAAGAAATCATTCCAAATAAATGCATTTCAAGCTCTCAAAATAAAAATAAAGACTGGTATTGTTTCCCTCAGATATTTTGCACATGCCATTAAGGCAAAGACAGTGCTTTTCTTCTCTTTTTTTTCCCCTTTTTTTGACTGTCTGGGGCTTGAACTCAGGGCCTGGGTACTGTCCCTGAGTTTCTTTTGCCCAAGACTAGCCTGGCAATCTACCACTTGAGCCTCAGAGCCACTTCCTGCTTTTTCTGTGTATGTGGTACTGAAAAATCAAACCCAGGGCTTCATGTATGTTAGACAAGCACTCTACCACTAAGCCACCTTCCCAGCCTGGCAGTGTTTTTCTTAATCATTAAAAAAAAATCCAGCCTTTCTTTAGTATATATAGTCTATAATAAACAGAATGATATCTGTAATGACTACAAAATAGAAACAAGATTAATAAACTATTTCAGGATGAGAATTTTTTTTAAGTCTCTCCAGCCTAGCTACAACTTTAAAGTTATATTTGTGACAAAGTTGTTGACTCTACCATTTACTAGTTGACAGTATGTAAGAACTAGAGTAACATAGAAATGCTGAAATTTGGGGGTATAAACATCAACATCAAAAAAACCACTCACAAGGGACAGGTTACTCATTTTGGGGAATGGCCCTGAGCTGCACTCTACATTTACAAAACATAATGTCCCATTATTCTCAGTTCAATCCACCAATTTAATTAAAAAGTATAATACAGCCAGGTTCACACATGTCAATCCTAACTACTCAGGCGGCTGAGATCAGGACTGAGCAGGAAAAAATCTGAGAGGCTCTTATCTCCAATTAACCACACACACAAAAAAGCTGGAAGTGGAGCTGTGGCTCAAGTGGTAGAGCACTAACCTTGAGCAAAAAAGCTCAGGGGCAGTGCCCAGGCTCTAGGATGGGCATAAAACATATACAATACACACAATATTTTAATTTCTTCTAAAAGAAAAAAAAATAAAAGTATTTTAACCTAAATCTGATTTCCATTAACTTGACCAAAATCTTTACATGTCAGTGTATTCTACAACACTATTACCATCATTATTTCTAAATATGAAAAACAAAGACTCAAATCTAGACTTTTCCCCCCAGCAGATTCCAGGATACTATTTAGATGGAAGGCGCTTCTCTCGCGTGGTACCAAAACACAGTCTTGGAGATGGTCTTTTCTTGCAATTAACTGAAAGGAGGGAGGCTGAAGAATCATCTAGAACAACTGGAAACGAACTTATCTCACTCTTTCTGAACGGGATTGCTCCAATAGCCTTCCTTACCGAAGACTGATTGCCCAGGAACTCCAAGCAAACCTCAGACAGTAGGAACGCTCAGTGCACCCCAGACGCTCCAAAGCTGTCCCCCGCGCGCACGAGCCCGGCCTGTGCCCGCCCCGGGGGAACGGACACCTGGGGTGGGCCGGGCGCCGGGACTAGACGAAAAGGGGTCGGCGCGCCCCAGCGCGTGGGGCTCACTCACCCCCTGCATCTCCAGGCTCCCGCAGCGCCCCCGGCCCCGGGTCGCCTCGTTCAGCGGTGATCCCCCCGAGCTGAGATCCGGAAGAGTAGGGAACGCGGAGGGTCGGGATCGCAGCCCGCTCCAGGAGCTGAATCTTCTCCAGGAACTGTAATGGGATGAACCTGCTCCTGAAATCCATTAGAAGGCGGCGTTTGGGGGCTGGGAGAACCGCGGGTGGCGCGCACAGGTCCGGCCACGTGGGCGCCGCTGCGGGCGCGCCGCACCTGCCCGCAAAGCCCGCGCCAAAGTCTCCACGTTTCTCTCCACCTGGAGCAGATCATATTGATCGCAACTTCACTCTTTCCTGTAGCAACCAGATTTGCACCAACACTGATGAATATATTCCTGATAGCATAAGAGACGGGGTGTGGGTGCGGTGATGGTGTCTGGTGTGTTTTAAAGCACCTCTGAGGGATTAAAAAAAGCGAATTGGATTTCACCCCCATCCTATAATCTTAAGTGGTGCCAAGGACTAGGTAGTCAGCAGATGACCTGTTGTCCGAACACCTGGCAAAAATAGATTGAGACTGGATTTTCCTTTGTGCAAAACTCGCCCTGTCACAGAGCTAGACGCTGTATTTCGTGTGGTGTTTACAAAAGGTATTGATCTACATCCAAACAAAATATATAAGAGGTTTAATGAGAATTCCAACTACTTAAGCCCAGGACTTACACACGTGTAGGGGCCTTTGGAAACAGTTCCTATGTTAACACTGGACATATCCATTTCCAGGCAAATATGATTTAACTATCCAGTCATTCATTCGTCTGTTTTAATCTAAAACTGGCAGATTAAAGGCTTGTTCCTTTTCTTTTGAATTAGTAGATGTTTACAGTATTAAACTAGTAATCAAGGCAGGGACCACATGAATATAATTTAAGTGAATGCAACGATTGGAGCAGAAAAAATACTAAAAACTGTCAAAAAGAGGTTAAATTTATCTTGTTTTAGACAATAAAAACTTTAATGTTATTAATCTTAGAAAAGTTCACAATTATTTTTAAATTTGAGAACAAAAATACATCCTTTCAAATGTTGTGAGAGTATGCATTCAAATCTTTGGGAGCTATTTAAAAACAATAGGATATACATTTGTTCGTTTATTTTATATTTACTTTTTCTTCTGTTGCCATGTTTTGCAGCACATAACTTTAGGGCAACTTAGAATAAATGTTGTAAGTCTTCAAAAATACTAAATGTGGTGGAGTCTCTGTGATTTTATTTTTATTTTTATTTTTTTTAGATACCAGAATCGACTCAGAAAATTATTTGCTTTTAATGTTAAAGGTTATATGTGTTTCTAGTTTGGAAGGTTGAGACTTTCGGACCATTTCAAAAGCATAGAGATGTTTGCAGTAAGATGCCAAATTATTTTCTATGTATTTTTAAAGGCAATGTTAAACTACTGATGTTATTGTTAACCCTCCCACTCCCCCCACTTCCCCGTCTTTGTTGGGGCTTGAACTCAGGTCCTGTGCACTCTCCCTGAGCTTTATTTGGTCAAAGAGAGCACTTGAGCCACTGGCTCCACTTCTGGCTTTTTGGTGGTTAATTGGAAACAATATTCTCACAGTTTTTCATGCCTGGGTTGGCTTTGAACTGTGAACCTCAGATCTCAACTTCCTGAATAGATCGGATTACAGGCATGAACCACGGCACCTGGCTTGTTAAAACATTTGTAAATATACATTGTATCACAATTCAATGAAATATATACTTTTAATTATAGATAACAGTTTTGAAACACACACATGCAACTGAATGGCAAGAGCTGAGAACATAGAAGACAGAGAGACGCAAGTCTGTGGGTAAAAGCTGTGTGGACCCGGGAGAGAAAGCTTCCACCTAGCCCTCAGTGGTGAGAGAGCGCGAGCGAGTGAATTTCACCGGAACCCCGGGCCCACCGGACCTTCCAGAAGAGAAGTTCAGGGAGAGTGTCTCAACATCAACAAATCTTTTTCTTCTGCTAGGACTTTTCTCCCCTGCTAGGATTACGCGTTTGGAGAAGGACTCCAGTTTAAAGCCAGAGCAAGGGTGCGCAAAGCTTGCCCGCAGCCGGCATTGTCGCTGGACTGCTGCAGCCGCTGGGCTGCTCTGAAAAGTGACTTTCCTAAACCGAACAGTCTAGGAGCGTGAAGGATCCTTCTCTTCCTGAGGTCGTAGGCTTAAAATGCGCCTGCTCTTCCTCCCTTTTGCAGTGACTGATTCCTCCAGCAAAAGCCGCTGGGCACGAGGCTGCGTGCAGCCCGCCCGCCTGGGGTGCGCGCTGCACCTGGCCTGGGTCGAGGGCCGGCCTGGACTGATCACGGAGTCCAACGCCCTCCTAAAGGATCAGCTTATCATCTCCCTTCTGGAAGAGAAGCGTGCCGGCTGCAAAACAGATGCTTCGGGAATAAATGCCCTAAATCAGTCTTTCTTCGCTGTCTCCATGAGATCCTGGGATTGCAAACAGCAATGTTAGAGACTTCAGTGGATTCATTGCCTCTAGGTTTCTCTTGTCCTAACGCAGATGCGCAAGTAAAGACCGCTTCCCATCCTCCCCGGGGAGCCCTACATCCCCTCCCCGAGCTTCCCCAGCCCCCAAACACCTCCCAAGATAGCATGAACTAAGTAGCATTTCCTCTGGCTGTTTCCTAGACAGTATCTTACTAACAGGTTCCTGGGGTGTGTGTGTGTGTGTGTGTGTGTGTGTGTGTGTGTGTGTGTGTGTGTGTGTGTGTGTGTGTGTGTGTGTGTGTGTGTGTGTGTGTGTGTGTGTGTGTGTGTGTGTGTGTGTGTGTGTGTGTTACTGAGACTTAACTCCAGACCTCTACCTCTTAAGCCACACCCGCAGCCCTTTGTGCTTTTTCTAACTTTTATTTTTTATGATAAAGGTGATGTACAGAAGAGTTACAGTTACACAAGTCAGGTAATGGGTACATTTCTCTTTGGACGAGGTCACCCCTTCCTTTGCTTTCTCCCAGTTTTTCCCTCCCATCTCCACCCACACGTTGTATAATTCATTTTCCACACAGTGTCCAATGAGTGCCACTGCTGCTTTTGTTCACCCTTTGTCCCTCCAGTCTGTACTGCCCCCTTACCCGCCCGAAGATAGATAAAAGATCAAACAAGACAAAAACAACCACGAAGGGGAAAAAAACCTCTTTCTTTGTGCCTTTGTGTTTTTGTTTGTTTTTGAATAGGGTCTTGCGTTTTACCCTTCAGGCCTGGCCTACCATCTTCCTCCTGTTTAGGTTCTCTAGTTAACTGAGATGACCTGCGTGGGCCATCATATCCAACTTTTCATTGGTTAAGATGGGATCTGGACACTTTTTGCAAATGCTGACCTGAAACCTGACCCGATAGTGCAGAACTCCCCTCCCCAGTAGCCAGAACGACAGGCATGAGTTCTACAGTTGTGTTTGTTTATCGATGGATGTACCTGAGAGCTCACCCAGCCTGGATCCCTTGTGGAACAGATAGGAAACTGAGGTCCTGAGGACGCGGGGTCGGCACCGAGAGCTACAGCTACCGAATCAAAGCGGCAGAGCTCAGAGCTCACCGCTGCCCTGCTCCACGCAGCCAGGTGGTCGGCCGGCCTGCGCCCCTCGGACGGCTTCAGAAAGTCTAACTTAACGACCAGGACCCGCAGGACGGCCAAAGCCAGGCGAGGAGGCCCGAAGTGGGCTGCCCCAAAGGAGCTGCGGGCACGGTTATTTCGATTAGGCTCCGAGGTACGGTTCCCACGACTGCGGACCTGGCTGGGAAAATCTCCACTCATTTCCCAAAAGCCTGGATCTCGGCCCTTTCGTGTAAGCCTCTGCGATCAGGTGGGGTTTAGAGGAAAAACTCCCAACTTGCCGTTCGCTCCCAACACCTGGGCTCCGTTTCTCTTTGCTTGGGGCGGAGGATAGGGGGGTATTTAATTGCTCTTGCACTTCATCCCAGGCTGTGGGAGTGGGGGACCCGCGGGCTCCGGGGGCGGGGCGCTGGGGGCGGGGTTTTATAAACCTGGGGACCCCGCCTCTCTCTCTCTCTCTCTCTCTCTCTCTCCTCCCTCCCTCCCTCCCTCCCTCCCTCCTCCTCTTCCTCCTCCTCCTCCTCCTCCTCCTCCTCCTCCTCTTCCTCTTCTTCCTCCTCCTCCCTCTCCCTCCCTCCCTCTCCCTCTTATTACAAAGGGACAAAGTCATCTTGCTTTGTGCATCTTGATTTTTCTCTTCTGTTTTTCAGGATCTGGACGGAGGTCGGAAGGAGATGCGGGCAGACGCGGGTCAGGACTCGGACAGCGGTTGTTCCTATGGGATGAAGCTCAGCTGGGACATCAACGACCCACAGATGCCACAGGCTAGTACAGGGGACCTTGTCCACGGAGGCCGACTTGGGTTTAGAGATGAGTCTACTTCCAGCGATTCCCTTGTGTTCATGCTTTCTTTCATTCTCTCTCTCTCTTCTCAGCAAATGTATCAGTCCACCAGTTCTCAGGTGGCAAAGCTGTGAGCTAAGACTATAAATGCAGGCAACTTGAATCTCACACAGATTTCCAGATTTGAGCAATTTATTAGGAGCACTCCACAGCCTGCTAAGGCAGCCAGTCCTGCCCAAGGCTTACTTCTGTGATGGCAAGGAACCGACATCTTTTCAGGATGAATTGTTTCATCTTATCATTTGAGCCCAGAGTGGGATATGAGCTGGGGAGCTGTTTGGTCACACTGGTTTGAATCACTACTGAAGAGTAAGCTGGGTGTGGTGGTGTGCGCCAGTAATCCGAGCTACTTAGAGGCAGGAGGACCTTGAGATTAGTTCGGGCAAAATTTGTGAGATACCATCTCAAAAAACAAATGATAAAACAGGTGAGGGGCATGGCCCCAGAGAGAGAGGGACTGAGTAGGACAGGATTCTGGGTTCAATCCCAGGCAGCATGGGTGTGCATGCACACGCATGTGAACACACACACACACACACACACACACACACACACACACACACACATGGTGACTTTAACATCTCCAATGGAGGATGGAAGGAAAATAGGCATTGCTTCCCAAGCATTTTGTTGTTGTTGGTGGTGGTGGTTGTGGGGCTTGAACTCAGGGCCTGGGCTCTGTCCCTGAATTCTCTTTGTACTCAAGGTTAGAGCTCTACCACTTGAGCTACAGCGCCACTTCTGGTTTTTGAGTGGTTCATTGGAGATAAGAGTTTCACCGGCACTTTTCTGTCTGGGCTGGCTTTGAACCCTGATTCTCAGATCTCAGCCTCCTGAGTAGCTAGGATTATAGGCATGCGAGCCACAGGCACCTGGCTTGCCCAAACATTTTAAAGATGAACTTGTAGCAAAGGCTCTAGCCTCTGCCAGGTGCCAGCTGACTGTTTCAGTGAATAGAATTCAACAGCAAGGCGAGTTACCTCTCACCAAGGTCACTACTTTTTTGAATGTGCCTATGTGTAGTATGTTGTTTTACTTGTTTGAATTGCTAAAATCTGCTCACTTTGGAGTCACACTGTAGTACTTTCATGAAACTGGACCACAGGTGAGGGTATGTGTGCTTCACTGTTGCTGACTTTGTGTGCATGGACTTCTTCATAGGAAACAAGCACATCTTGTGTTTTAGAAAGGAACTGCATCCAAATCATGCATTAATAGCTGGTCCCTCAGTCAACTTCTAGACTTCTCAGTAAATAGGAAATCTCACTCCTTTGGGAGACTCCTTCTTTATCAGGGATGTGTGTCGCTTCTCAGAAGGGAAGGCACACTGGGGTAACTGAGAGAAAGAGAGCTATACTGGCTAGCTGACCTTCAGAGAGTCCTTGAAATTTGCCTTTTTCTTAGGCTATTGAGCTATCATCAAGTAGTAGCCACAGATAACAATCTCAAACTCTTGTCTAGATCTACTGTGTGTGTGTGTGTGTGTGTGTGTTGCTATCATATCAGAGAAAATAGGACTCAATCTTGGGGCTAGAAATGTGGCTTAGTAGTAAAGTGCTTGCCTAGCATGCATGAAGTCCTGGGTTTGATTCCTCAGTACCACATACACAGAAAAAATCAGAAGTGGTGCTGTGGCTCAAGTGGCAGAAATACAGGCCTGAGCAAAGAAGCTCAGGGACAGTGCTCAGGCCCTGAACTCAAGCCCCAGGACTGGAAAAAAAAAAAAAAAAGAACTCAGTTTTGGAGCTGAGTATAGTGTCATATGCCTGTAGGCTCAACTCTTATAGGCGGAGGCAGGATCTCTCAAGTTTGAGTCCAGCCTGGGCTATGTAAGAAGTCTGTTTCAAAACAAAAAACAACCTGGGGCTGAGCACAACTGGGTTATGCCTACATTCCTAGCTACTGAAGAGGCTGAGATCTGAGAATCATGGTTCAAAACCATCCCACACAAGAAAGTCTGTGAGAGTCATCTCTACAATTAACCAGCAAAAAGACAGAAGTGAAGGTGTGGTTCAAATAATAAATAACAGCATATTAACGCTAAAGCAATGCTCAGTATTTTACATATGACTTTTTATAAGCTCTTTGTTGAGGAGAATGACAATTCCATATCACTGGGGCTAGGGATCAATAGTACTGTGCCAGGCTGGATCATCAACGTGTGAAGCTGAAGACTTACTATGGCTTACTATGGTGGCTGTGTCATCAGTGCTGTTTTAAACTTTAAGAGCTGAGAGATGGCTCTTACCTCTCTTATAGCTTGTGGGTATCCTTGGTGAGGTGATTGGCAGGTTTTGGGGGAGAGCTAAGTGCTTCTACAGATATTTACCAATTTAATTGCATTTCAGTGGAAAAGCAGCCAATCACTTTTGTGTGTGTGTATGCTAGTCCTGGGCCATGCTCCTAACATGGCTAAAAACTGTCCCTTAGCTTTTCCATTCAATGATGATGCATTCCCACTTGATCCATACCTCCACATCTGGATTTTATTGCTGGTTAATTGGAAATAAGCGTCTTATGGACATTCCTGCCTGGGTTGGCTTCAAACAGCCATCCTCAGATCTCAACCTTCTAAGGAGCTAGGATTACAGGTGGGACCCACCAGTGCCCAGTTACTCCAATCACTTTTCGCTATTATGACACTCAACTTGAAAATGTTT